TGTGAACTCATCTTGTTGTGTTTCAATAATAATAATAATAATAATAATAATAATAATAATAATAATAATAGTAACAATAATAACTCTATGATTCTATGAGCCTAATAAAGGATGAGCTATTAAGAAGCAAAGATTTTATTACCTAGTAAGAACAACAACTCAATTCAGGTGTAATTCCCCAAATAGTCAAACTATTCAAAAAGCACATCAAGGAAGAAAACATTTCTGCCGCTTTTTTGTGTAATTTATTTTTGGAAAAAGTGCTCTCAAATTTCCTGAAAGCTGAAGAAGAATACCCACTGTGTTTCACAATGATGTTCTCAAGAAACCAATATGAAACCACCACAGAGAGATTCTAGCTCTACAGAATTATACAGTGTTGGAGAGAAAAAATAGAAAATCCATTTATATTACTTTTGTCTTTCTCTATAGGGGAAAATCGAGTAGAAGATACATAATTTGTTTTTCACCTTGTCAAATTGCCTTGAGACATTTTAAGAGATTAATAGAAGGGGACTGTTAGAAATAATTTGTGCTTCTGAGACTGCAACATGGGAAGGTTAATACATCAGACATGAATGAATACTGGAAGATTTGGAAGTAGCTTGGTAGTAACTACACAATACTACTGTATTCATCCTTTTGAAATTGTGATTGCAATGTATTGAACAGCAGCACAAACAGCAACCCCAGAGCACCATCTTTTCAGATAATGTTCAAATAGCATATGAATAAAGTGGTGTGTCCAAAGGCCCATAAAAAAGGCAAGTTACAGCTGTCTGGTGGTACAGGCACAAAAGGCCTTTTGTAAAGGATGCCACACTTCAAGAGGGAGTAAAAGGGCAGAAGAGCAGTAATGTGTCAAAAGAAAAAAAAAAGACTGTGTTAGTAGAAATATGGTGCCATTTGAAATGTTTGTGGTTTTTGTTTTCAGCACAATCATTTAGAAAAAAAAATATGCTAACATATTACTTTCCTTTCGCTCTCATTTTTCATGTGGTTACTATTTAATTACCATATAAACTAGAATATAAGCCGACCCAAATATAATCTGAGGCACCTAATTTTACCACATAAATCTGGGAAAACGTATTGACTTGAGTATAACCCAAAGGTGTGAAATGCAACAGCTACTAGTAAATTTCAAAATAAAAATAGATAAAATTACATTAATTGAGGCATCAGTAGATTAAATGTTTCTGAATATGTACATTTTATTTATTTATTTGACTTGTATACCGCTACTCCCAATTTGGCTTGGAGCGGTTTACAGCAGTAGATTAAAACAATACAACCAACTTTAAAATACAATAAAAACGAGAACAGACATAGTCCCGAGTTATTCACCCATCGAAAGCTTGTCGGAAAAGAAAGGTCTTACAGGCTTTCCGAAAAGCAAGTAGGTCTCGGATGATTCGGGTTTCAACTGGCAAGGCTTTCCATAAATAAGGGGCCACAATCGAGAAGGCTCTCTGCCTAGTAGAGGACAGATGATAAGTCCGGATGTTGGGGACTTCAAGCAAATTTTGGTCCTCAGACTGAAGTAATCTCTGGGGTTGGTAGGGGGATAAGCGGGCCCTCAGGTACGCCGGCCCCAGACCATATAAGGCCTTAAAGGTTAGTACCAGCACCTTGAAGGTAATCCGGTACTCAATCGGAATTGTAGAATTGGGGTGATATGACACCTCGCCGGAACCCCGGTGAGAAGACGAGCCGCCGCAGATTGAAACTAAATCCAGACAAGACAGAGGTACTCCTGGTCAGTTGAAAGGCTGAACAGGGTATAGGGTTACAGCCTGTGCTGGACGGGGTTACACTCCCCCTGAAGGCGCAGGTTCGCAGTTTGGGAGTTCTCCTAGATTCATCGCTGAGCCTGGAGCCCCAGGTTTCGGCGGTGGTCAGGGGAGCTTTTGCACAATTAAAACTTGTGCGCCAGCTGCGCCCGTACCTTGGGAAGTCTGACTTGGCCACGGTGGTCCACGCTTTGGTTACATCCTGTTTAGACTACTGCAACGCTCTCTACGTGGGGTTGCCTCTGAAGACTGCCCGGAAGCTGCAGCTAGTCCAACGCTCGGCAGCCAGACTACTAACGGGTGCTGGGTACAGGGAGCACACCACTCCGCTGTTACACCAGCTCCACTGGCTGCCAATTAGCTTCCGAGCACAATTCAAAGTGCTGGTGTTAACCTATAAAGCCCTAAACGACTCCGGCCCTGTTTACCTCTCCGAACGTATTCTCCCCTATGAACCATCAAGATTATTAAGATCGTCTGGAGAGGCCCTGCTCTCGGTCCCACCGGCCTCGCAAACTGAGTCTGGATGGCTGTCTGTGGGGAGGGCTTTGATTGCGTCTTCCTGTCTGGCTAAAGGGGGCTAGATTAGATGTCCTCTGGGGCTCTCCTCCACTGATGTGTCCTTCTCTTGAGGTTCACCCCCTCCCCAAAGGAGGGTTATTAAAAACTTAAGTGCAATACTTTCTAGAACATGGTTTAATATGCATGAACTTAAATGTTCAGTATGCAATCAGTATTTCATCAGTTGATACTTTCATTTCCTGGTCAATTTTTATTTAAGCTTTTAGTCTTATTATTTACAATTGATTTCATCTGGTGCATAAACACATAAAAAGGCATCATAGTCATAAACATACCTAAAGAATGAATTTACAGTTCTTGTGACTGTACCTTGTCCTTTTATACATTATACAAGAAGAGGAGGTGATGGAGAAATGGAAGCGGGAGGACCTCCCTACCACTCAAGTGGGCACCCCCACTAGCCCTCTGCCCCTGGCAGGGCTCCCTCTCTCCCTTCATCCTGAGATCTTCCAGGAAGACCTTTCTTCTTTCTTTCCTGCTTTCCTTTCTGGAAGACCTTCCTTCATCTTAAAATCCTCCTTCCGTCAAGGTCTTCCAGGTAGTCCTTCGTCATCTTGAGATCATCTTTCCTTTATCTTGATATCTTCCAGGAAGACCTTCCTACCTTCATTTTGAGATCTTCCAGTAAGACCTACCTATCTTCTGTCCTTCCTTCCTCTCAAAATCTTCCAGGAAGACCTTCATTTATTCATCTTAAGATCTTCCTTCATTTCAATGTCTAACATGAAGATCTGTTCTTTTCATCTTGAGATCTTCTATAAAGACACTTCTCTGTCCAACCACCATTACGGGGTCATCTGATAGGAACGTTGGGAAAAAAGAAGCCATGTTGCTGTCTGTCCCAATATAAACCCCATAAGGTTTAGGTTAAGGCCCACATTCTCCAAGCCTTCCTTCATATTGAGATCTTCTGGAAGGTCCTTCTCATCCATTCCTCTCCATAGGGAGAAAATGGAATATTCTTGGTGTCTGCCCCAGATATATAAAGCCCTTTACGGCTCATGTCAAGGGTACCCAAAGGACTATACCTCTTTTCAAGAGGGTTATTTCCTTCACCTTGAGATCTTCTAGAAGGTCCTTCCCCACATTCCATCATCCCCTCAGGGATACCTAGTAAAAGAATGGGTCCAGACAGACTCAGCTCACTCCCATGTCCATTTCTTCCTGTAGAAGAGCTGGACAAGTTCATCATGAACACGCCTGAGAACTGTAGGAGGAACCCTGCTGAGGCAGAAGCCTCCTGGAACATTCCGTCCCAACTTACACAACCACTTCCCATGATGCTGTCCTTGTACCACACACCCAACTCACTGGCCCCCATGCAGAACCCACTACTGCACACACTCTGCAGTATGGACCACAACCCCCTCCTGCAACCAATGCTGCTGCCACCACTGGGCAACATCCTCCGTTACCATAAAACTTAATTTAATTGTTCAGAGTTTCCACATCAAGTTGCAGTGATAACTTGGTATTTTAAACAGTCATTAAAATGTATTGTTTAACCATTGTCAGGTGTCACCAGTGGCACAGCAGGTTAAACCAGTGAGCTGCAGAACTTGCTGAACGAAAGGTAAGCAGTTTGAATCCAGGGAGCAGGGAGAGCTCCCGTGGTTAGGCCCAGCTTCTGCCGACCTAGCAGTTCGAAAACATGAAAATGTGAGTAGATCAATAGGTACCAGGAGGGAAGGTAAGGGTGTGCCATGCAGTCATGCCGGCCACATGCCCTTGGCGGTATCTATGGACAACACTGGATCTTTGGCTTAGAAACGGAGATGAGCACTAGACTTAATGTCAAGGGGAAACCTTTACTTTTATAACCACTGTCAGTTTCGATCATTTAATAGTAAAATCTGAGAATTTTCTCCCATTGTCTTTGTACGTATAAATGTACATAATATTAGGAAATTAAGGACAAAAATGCAACAAATGAGTCCCACCTTCAAACGAACAAAAGGACCAGCAAAACTGTATGAAAATCCATTTTAATGAACATGGGAAAAATTAAACTTTTCAGTACCCGGACCCACTGATATCCTTCCTATGAGAAAGAGTGATATTTCCTGTAGTGAAGGTAAATATAGATATTTTCTTATCCCTTTTAGGAAAAGAATACATATATATAATATGTATATTATATATACACACATACACACTCTTCCATGAATTTGCTTTATATATTCATTAACAAAACAGTGGTATTCGCAATGAATCTTGAAAAAAAACTGCAATTTTGTGCTCTGTGGTAAAAATAGTGAAAAATGGCATTCTTTTGAATTGAATTTTTGTAGGATAGGCTCAATTTTCTTTCTAATACGGCAGCTCCTTTCCCGAGTTAAAGACTATCTTGTCTTGCAGCAAAATATTATTATTATTGTATTAATATATATTACTATATTAATGTTGGTATATTATATTATTAATATTAATGTATTAATATGAGTTGAATTTTTGTAAAACAGCCTCAAATTTCTCAAATATTGTGGATTCTTTGCTGCATTAAATATTATTTTGGCTTGCAGCAAAATATTAATATTATTGTATTAATATATATTACTATATTAATGTTGGTATATTATATTATTAATATTAATATTAATATGTATTAATATTAATATTAATATGTATTAATATTAATATATTAATGTATTAATATGAGTTGAATTTTTGTAAAACAGCCTCAAATTTCTCAAATATTGTGGATCCTTTGCTGCATTAAATATTATTTTGGCTTGCAGCAAAATATTAATATTATTAATATATCAATATACATTAATATGTAATAATATGTAGTCATATAAGAATGTTTATAGGATAGGCTCATATTACTCAAATATGGTGGATCCATTACCACATTAATAATATATATTAATATAATATAATTATATTAGTACATAATATTAATGTCATATTTTGTTATTATCATATTAATTCCTATTACTGACATGTTATAGTATTATATTAATATTTATTAATATTGTCATTATTATACTATATTGATATCAATGTTAATATAATAATAATTAATATATTAGTATTTTGCCATAAGCCAAATATATGAATACTGCATTGTATTTGTATATGAATAAGACCACAGTTGAGGTTGCCACAAACTCAACACAATAATCCAAATACCCATAAATGTAACTTGCCAGTATTTTTCAGAGCCTTTGTTTCTACGCTTTAGGTACTCAATTCCTCTTCAAAAAATAACATTTGTCTCTATCATACCATTGGGAAACATTATGGATCCTCCATTGAAGAAGCTGTATACAATTGTCACTTAGTGGTCCATGGTCCATGGATGGACCCGTCTGTTGGCCTTGATCCATCGGTCATCTCTCCTCAAGAGGAAGTTGGGTTGTCCATGGTGGCCAAAAGCCGGACGACTTGGGTCCGCTGGGCCCTCGAGAGATGCTGGGTCATGTGGATGATGCAGTCCATGGTCACCTCAGGGTTGGCTTGGACCAAGCTATAAGAGAATTAGAAGGTTTGTCCAAGGACACCATCCAATACCTCCCAACTTAGAAACTTCCAGAGAAGGAAGGAGACTCCGCCAGACTTCCACTGCCTTATCATTATGGAGTTCTTCCTACCGTTTGAACCAATGGCTCAATGGGACCTCCTTCCAGATATGTAAACATGGCCCTCATGTCCACAATTGATCTTTTCCTTCTCCAAGGTAAACACCATCTCAATGGAACAATAACTTCCTATGATCAATACTGGCTTATCAAGCTGAATGCTGACTTCCTATTTTGTCAACGTTAACTTACTAAGCTGAAAGTTGCCTTTCTATGGTCAACACTGAATTACACTGAAAAACGAGTATTTTGTTTCCTTTACATGCTAATCACATAAATAACTTCAAAGTTGTCACACCACGTAAGGTTTTTGAGAAATGGCCAATTTTGTTTTACAGTCATTGTCAAATTATGAAACATTTTCTTTCTCGGCAGTAATTTGCATGATTTTTTAGATTGTTCATATCTTTGACAACCATAACCAACATTATGTAACATGTAAAAGAAACTCAGTCTATTAGCATACCACAAAATACATTTCTGATCATGTAGAAACTTGCTTGGGCATGTCGAAGGCATGGACACTAGAGGATGAGGAGGTAGACAACCAGTCATTTATATTACATTCTAACAGAACAAAACAAACAAACAGACAAAATACAAAATTTGCAAGCTTGGTAGTTGATTAAATGTCCTTTGACCAGTATCTGGCCACTTGGAGTGCCTCTGGTGTTGCTGCAAGAAGGTCCTCCATTGTGCATGTGGCAGGGCTCAGGTTGCATTGCAGCAGGTGGTCAGTGGTTTGCTCTTCTCCACACTCGCATGTCGTGGATTCCACTTTGTAGCCCCATTTCTTAAAGTTGGCTCTGCATCTTGTGGTGCCAGAGCGCAGTCTGTTCAGCGCCTTCCAAGTTGCCCAGTTTTCTGTGTGCCCAGGGAGTCTCTCATTTGGTATCAGCCATTGGTTGAGGTTCTGGGTTTGAGCCTGCCACTTTTGGACTCTCGCTTGCTGAGTGTTCCAGCGAGTGTCTCTGTAGATCTTAGAAACTATTTCTAGATTTAAGTCGTTGACGTGCTGGCTGATACCCAAACAGGGATGAGCTGGAGATGTCTCTGCCTTGGTCCTTTCACTATTGGCTGCTACTTCCCGGCGGATGTCAGGTGGTGCAATACCGGCTAAGCAGTGTAATTTCTCCAGTGGTGTAGGGCGCAGACACCCCATGATAATGTGGCATGTCTCATTAAGAGCCACATCTACTGTTTTAGTGTGGTGAGATGTGTTCCACACTGGGCATGCGTATTCAGCAGCAGAGTAGCATAGCGCAAGGGCAGATGTCTTCACTGTGTCTGCTTGTGATCCCCAGGTTGTGCCAGTCAGCTTTCGTATGATATTGTTTCTAGCACCCACTTTTTGCTTGATGTTCAGGCAGTGCTTCTTGTAGGTCAGAGCACAGGCATGGGCAAGGTAGGATATAACTGGGATAGAAATTTCAGAGGGGATAGGGCGTGCAAATCAATCCTAAATCAATAATAAAGTGCATTTTGAGGACATATTGCTGAGAGTTTCAATTATTCTGGAAAGGCACACTGGAACGACCATGTTTTCAGGCTCCTCCTAAAGATGGCCAGAGTTGGGGCATCCCGGATGTCCTTGAGAAGCAAGTTCCAGGCACTGACTTATCAAGCTGAACATTCAACTTCCCAACATCAAGTTGACTTACCAAGCCGAACATTGACTTCTTATGGTCAGTGTTGACTTATCAAACTGAACATTGACTTCCTATGGCCAGTGTTATCTTACCAAACTGAATATTGACTTACCATGCTAAATGTTAACGTTGTATGGTCAGTATTGCCCTACTAAGTCGAACATTGACTTCTTAGGGTCAAAGTTGACAAAAAAAGTTTAACTTTGACTTATCAAGCTAAAATTCACTGCCTAGGAACACCATTGACTTCCTAAGCTGAACACTACCTTCGTGTGTTGAATATTGACCTTCCAAGCTGAATGTTGGCTTCCTATGGTAAACGTTGACTTGCCAAAATGAAAGTTGACTTCTAGAGTCCTCTAGTTAACCCTTGATACTACTGCTCCCATATTGGGTCTGGGGTCTACTCCATTTGTCCATAAACAACCCCCAGAACCTCCCAATACTCACTTCCGAATGTGCTTGAGGGCGTAGTCTCGCTTCAGGTACTTGATGTTGTCCCGGATGGCAGACTTGGCTCCATCTTCCTCCTTCAAGTGTTTCTCCAGCCATTCCACCACCACCTGGTTGTTGTCCCAGAGGTAGCCCTAAAGGCAAAGGGAGTGAAAATGAGCCAAGCTTGATGCAGCAACTAAAAAGGCCAATGCAATTCCAGGCCTCATCAATAGAAGTCTAGAGTCTACATTGATGGAAGTCCTAAAGGATATGGATAATTCATATAGCATATGGATAAGGCTCTAGAGGTCACAGTAGACCCCAAGTTAAATATGAGCCAAGAGTGTGATGCAACAGCTAAAAAGGTCAATACAATTCCAGCCTGCATCAATATTGTAGGAGGGTAATATCTACATTGATGGGCATTATGGAAGATATGGATCAGTTATACAGGAGCTAGATAAGGGTCTTGGGGTCTTAGTAAATCCCAAGTGGAACATAAGTCAAGAGTGTTATGCAGAAGCGAAGAAAGCCAATGGAATTCTAGGCTGTGTCAACAAAAGTATACATCAGGGGAACTCATATAAGATATGGATAAGGGTCTAGGGGTCTTAGTGGACCACATGTTGAACATATGAGTGTGATGCAACAGTGAAGAAAGCCAAAGCGATTCTAGGCTGTGTCAATAAAAGTATACATCGAGGGAAGTCATATAGGAAATGGATAAGAGTCTTGTGGTCTTAGCAGATGCAGTAGCTTAAAAGGCCAATGCAATCCCAGGTTCTTAAAGGGAGGCACCTTGACTGTCCCTTCTGTCTCCAGGAACCACCGGCGCAGCATGGACTGGATATGGCTGTTGCTGAGTTCGTGGTTGGCGCTGAGGATGTCCGCCTTTACAACTTCCTCCAAAAGGAGGCGCCGTAGACGCCAGTAGAAGAAGCTACGGGCAGTTTTCCACTGGAGTATATCCTGGGAAGGGGGTGAAATATGGTTTAATATAGGTCCTCTGGGAGGACCTAGAAATTCCTACAAGCACACTTGTTCTAGGAAAGCATTACCGTGATGACCCCCTTCTCCTGCATGCGTCCTGGAGTGTCATGGAGGTCGGCAAACTGTACTGCCACCTGGTGGTAGATTGGGAGAAGGTGTTCCTCCCTCGCCTGCAGCTGCATCTCCAAATCTTGGCGCTTCTCTTTGGGGAGATCTTGGGCACCTGCGTTGGGTTTGTTGGTACCTATTACAGCCGTATTTGGCTTCCTTACCCTCTCCCAAAGAAAACCCCACCCTCGTCCCACTCCTCACCCAGCCTCTGTGCGATACTAGCACAGGTCTTGTCAACTCTCCGCATGGTTTTAACCAGGTCTTTCTTGCGGAACTTGATCTCCACGGTGCCCTCCGCCTCCAAGATGCCGCCCCGGCTCTCCCTGTCGGCATAGAGCTCCATGTGCAGAGGGTTGATAGTGGGGTCAATGACCACCCAGGAGCCACCCCGCAGCTCACTGTGTGGTGGGATGTAGACCAGGGCTGGTTGCTTGAATTGTCGCAGGCTGTCCACGATGTAGGCCCCAAACTTCAACACCTGATCGTACATATCTGCAAGGGAGGATCAGCAACCAAGGCTCAGAGGCTGGGAACCTCCCTGCTCCCCTTTCACCCCAGAAATAATCTTCAGTTCCAGAAGTCCCCTCACATTCCAGAAGTCTCCTCTACCCCAGAACTCCTCTCACCCCACAAGTCCTCTTTCACCCCAGAGGCCCCTTTCCATCCCAAAAGTTTCCTCTCATCCTAAAAGTCCCCTTCCACCCCAGAAGTCACCTTGTCCCATAAGTCTCTCTCATCCTAGACGTCTCCTCCTGCCCTGGGACTTCCTTTTCAGCCCAGAAGTCCCCTTCCATCCCAGAAATCACCAACCATCTCAGAAAATACACTCACCTGATGTCCCCTCTTGTTTCAGAAATCCTCTTCATCCAGAAACCACCTCTCATCCCAGAAGTTTGCCCTTACCCTGGAAGGTTCTGTCCTAGAAGTCCCCTTCCATCCTGCAAGTCCTCTCTCGGCCAGAAAATCCCTTTCCATCCTGAAGTCACCTCAGAAATCCTCTTTTGCCCCAGAAAACCATCTATTTGCTTATTTATTTATTTGTCGTGTCAGGAGCGACTTGAGAAACTGCAAGTCGCTTCTGGTGTGAGAGAATTGGCCGCCTGCAAGGACGTTGCCCAGGGGAGACCCGGATGATTTGATGTTTTTATCATCCTTGTGGGAGGCTTCTCTCATGTCCCCGCATGAGGAGCTGGAGCTGATAGAGGGAGCTCATCCGCCTCTTCCCCGGATTCGAACCTGCGACCTGTCGGTCTTCAGTCCTGCCGGCACAGGGGTTTAACCCACTGCACCACCGGGGGCTCCTTATTTGCTGAAAACCATCTACTGCACCAGAAACTCCCTTTCACCCTGAAAGTTACTCTTCACCCCAGAAGTTACCTTCCATCCCAAAAGAACCTCTCATGCCATAAGTTACCTTTTCTCTTGGAAGTCCCCCCTCCCTCATGCTCTAGATGTCTCCTTCCACCTCAGAAGTCACCTGGAAGTTACCTTTCATGCCTCCGGAGAAGCCCCTCCAGTTAGCAAATACCAAGAGTGGCAGGCGCTCGCGATCAAAATCCCTAATAGCTTGAGCTGTCTTGAATGCCGAATCGGGGAACCAGACCTGTCCAGCTTGCTGGATGAGCTAGAAAAGAATAATAATAATAATAATCATCATCATCATCATCATCGTCGTCATCATCATATCCCTCTTTCCTCTCAACCAAACAGGGCATGGAGCATTATCTTCCTGGGCACTCCTCCTGACCTTTGCTTCCGACTCAGGGTTCGCAGGGTCAGCAGGGACTGCCAGCTCTACTGTCCTTGTTTCCACAGCAATGACCCCAACTGGGATCCCTCCCAACCTGCAATGGGTCCAGAGAGAGGAGTCACTGAAACAGATCTTGAATTAAGACAGTGAACAGTAATCAATTCCAAGCCAATGCATGCATTTTCTCTTATCCATCCTACTTTCCTTTCTCTTCCATACTTTTCATTCCTTCCTTTCTCCCCTCCCTTCCTTTGTTTCTTCTTTCATCCTTTCCTAACTCTTCCTTCCTTTCTTCCCACCTTCCTTCATCCCTTCTTTCTCTCTTCCTTTCTTTTCCTTCCTTCGTTATTCTTTCTCTCTTCTTACCCATGCTCTATTCCGCCTTGGTTAGACCACACCTGGAATATTGTGTCCAATTCTGGGCACCACAATTCAAGAGAGATATTGACAAGCTGGAAATGTGTCCAGAGGAGGGCGACTAAAATGATCAAGGGTCTGGAGAACAAGCCCTATGAGGAGCGGCTTAAGGAGCTGGGCATGTTTAGCCTGAAGAAGAGAAGGCTGAGAGGAGATATGATAGCCATGTATAAATATGTGAGAGGAAGCCACAGGGAGGAGGGAGCAAGCTTGTTTACTGCTTCCTTGGAGACTAGGACGCGGAACAATGGCTTCAAACTACAAGAGAGGAGATTCCATCTGAACACGAGGAAGAACTTCCTGACTGTGAGAGCCGTTCAGCAGTGGAACTCTCTGACCCGGAGTGTGGTGGAGGCTCCTTCTTTGGAAGCTTTTAAACAGAGGCTGGATGGCCATCTGTCAGGGGTGATTTGAATGCAATATTCCTGCTTCTTGGCAGGGGCTTGGACTGGATGGCCCATGAGGTCTCTTCCAACTCTTTGATTCTATTCTATGATTCCTTTCTCTTCCCTTCTTTTCCTTGGTTTCTTTCCTCTCTTACTTTGCCCTTTCCTTGCTTTCCCTTCCTTTGTTTCTACTTTCTCCCTCTCCTTCCCTTCCCTTTTTCCTTTCTTTTCTTCCCTTACATCTTTTCCCTCTCTCCTTTCTTCTTCTTCCCCCCTCCCCTCCTTTCTCTTTACTTCCCACCTTGCCTTTCCTCATATATCTTCCCCCTCTTCTCTCTTCCTTTTCTTTCCTTCCTTCCCTTCTTTCTCTTTCCTCCTCTCTTAATACCTGGCTCGGCCGACCACCACTGTCTGGGCCCAAGGCTGCATGATTTCTGAGAAGGAGCCATGGTCAAAGAAGCCACTTTGCCACGATCCCTTTGTCGCTAGAAGAGGAAAACAGAAAAGGTAGGTGGCCATCTGTCAGGAGAGATTCGATGGCGCCTGGCAGAAGGGGCAGAATGGGACGGATGGCCTTTGGGGGGCCCACTTACTGGGGTGAGGCCTCCCAGCCAGCATCCATCGGGGATCATAGGGACCTTTGGGAGGGAAAAACTCGATCTCTCTCTCAATGGGGTCAGTGGGTAGCATGATGGGTAACGGGCTGTGATTGTCCTATAAGAAATAACACCATTTATTTTAATTTTAAACAAAAGAAGAAGAAGAAGAGACAGTAGATCAGAAAGAAAGAAGATTGAAGAATTTAGGGCCTAAATACCCAGGCACCAAATCCAGAAATGCTAAGTAGGGTCAGCCCTGACCTTTGGCATATAGGAGAGCCATTGCAGTATGGTGTAGACACCTTCGAAGTCATCAGGGACGGCAACATGGGAGACGCCATTGTTGTGCATGATTTCCACTCCTCCCAGTTGGTTGCTGGAAGTGTAGACTTCCCTGCCCAAGACCTGGTCAGGTAGGAAACACAAAATTGCCCTCCAAAAGCTCAGCATATTATGATGTCCATCTGTCAGGAGGGATGGGATTGTGTCTTCCTGACTGGGTTGGATTGGACAGCCCTTGGCTCCCTAGGGTTCTACCTTATTCAGAGCTGCGGCGCCTGTCAGTATGATATGGGAGTTTTCCACCTGAATGACCCGCTGGCCAAGCCTCACCAAATAGGCCCCGATCCCAATGGCACGGCAAGTGACCTACAGGATAGAAATGAGGAGGGATTAAATTATGGTTCTTTCCATTTATTTGGTTTACAAAGGCTCTAAATCCTTACCATGCTAATTGTGACGATTTCATCATAGGCAAGGGACGACTCCCCTGCAATGGCTGCCGCTGCCCTGAGATTCTCCACCCCGAAGCCTTCGTCTTTGCCAATTATGTCAGTGAGGATGTACCTGCGGGAGAGGGTTACAAAGGTGGCGTAAAGGATGAAGAGGAGGACAACAATGAGGTTTGGGACTGCAATGCATCATGCGCTCACCTGGATTCGCCGGCCTCCTCCACGTGTTTGCAATGCACCACGTTTGAGGAACTGATCTTGGTGTAGTCCTGGGGGGTCAGGTACAGATATTTGAATCCCTTTTGGAGGGAAAGAGAAGAAAAGGTTAGCTGAAGATACGTTCAAGAGCAAGAAGCCCATTCAGAGCAAGAGGAAAAGCCAATTCAATATAAGAGTAAGAGGCCATTTGGAGTGAGAATAAGAAGCCAATTCAATGTTAGAGTAACAAACCGATTCGGAGCGAGACCAAGAAGCCAATTCAGAGCAAGAGGAAGAAGCCAATTCAATATAAGAGTAAGAGGCCTTTTGGAGTGAGAATAAGAAGCCATTTCAGTGTTAGAGTAACAAGCCGATTCGGAGCGAGACCAAGAAGACCATTCAGAGCAAGAGGAAGAAGCCAATTCAATATAAGAGTAGGAGGCCATTTAGAGTGAGAATAAGAAGCCAATTCAATGTTAGAGTAGCAAGCCGAGCGAGTGCAAGACTATTCAATGAGAAAATAAGAAGATGCTTAGGAGTGAGGATAAAAAGACAATTAAGATGCCAATTCAGGGCAAGAGTAAGAAGGCAATACAATGTAAGAATAAAAATACAACTAGGAGTGAGAGTAAGAAGACAATTCAATGTGAGAGTAAGAATACAATTAGGAGTGAAAGTAAGAATGCAACTCAATGTGAGAGTAGGAAGGCAATTCAAAGTGAAAGAAAGAAAGCAATTCAATGCAAGAGTAAGGTGGCAACCTGATTTGGAGTGAGAGTAAGAAGTCAATTCAGAGCAAGAGCAAGAGACCAATTCAGAGGGAGGATACGAAACCAATTCAATGTGAGAGCAAGATGCCAATTTGGAGCGAAAGTAAGAACGCAATTCAATGTGAGATTAAGAAACCAAACTGGAGGGAAAGTAAGAAGATAATTCAATGCGAGAGCAAGATGACAATTCAGAGTGAGAGAATGAAGGCAATTCAATGTGAGAATAAGAAGGCAATTCAGGGCAAAAGTAAAAAGGCAAGTCAGAGCAAGAGAAAGAAGGCAATTCAATGCGATAGAAATAATACAACTCAATGGAGAGCAAGAAGCCAGTTCAATGCAAGAGTAAGATGAGAGTAATAAGGCAATTCAATGTTTGAGTAAAAAGATAATTCAGTGCAAGAGTAAGAAGCCAATTCAGAGCGAGAGCAAGAAGCCAATTTAAAGCGAGAATAAAAAGCTTATTCAGAGCGAGAGCAAGAAGCCAATTTAAAGCGAGAATAAAAAGCTTATTCAGAGCGAGAGTAAGAAAGCAATTAAATGTTAGACAATTAAGACAATTCAATGGGAGAGTAATAAGAAAATTCAATGCTAGAGTAATAAAGACAATTCAATGTGAGAGAAAGAAGACAATTCAGTGTGAGAGTAAGACACCAATACAAAATGAGAATATGAAGCCAATTCAATGTGAAAGTAAGAAGACAATTTGGAGTGACAGTAAGAAGTCAATCGAGAGTGAGATCAAGAAGCCAATTAAATGTGAGAGCAAGAAACTAATTTGGAGTGAATGTAAGAAGCCAATACAATATAAGAATAAGAAGAAAATTACATGTGTGAGTAAGAAAACAACTTAATGTGAGAAGCCAATTCAGAGTTAAGAGCAATAAGATTATTCAGATTGAGAGTAAAAAGCCAATTCGGAGTGAAAGTAAGACAATTTAATGCGAGAGTAAGGTGATTCAGAGGAAAGATAAGAAGACAATTCAAAGGGAGGTTAAGAAGACAATTTGGAGAGGAGATAAGAAGTCAGTTTGGAGCAAGGAAGGAAGCCAATTCAGAGCAAGACTAAGAAAATAATTAAATGTGAGAGTAAGAAGCCAATTCAATGCGAGAATAAGAAGCTAATTGAGAGAGAGAACAGGAAGCCAATTTAATGCGAGAGTAAGAAAACAATTTGGAGTGAGAGCAAGAAGTTTATTCAGTGCAAGGGTAGGAAACCAATTCGGGGCAAGAATAAGAAGCCAAATAACAGTGAAGGTAAACCCACTTCTCCCTCCAATTTGCCCACCTTGTAGGGGTCAGCGGGATCAACCCAGGCCACTTGGAACTTGTGCTTGACCTCCTCAGCAAATCCGATGCGGGCCCCACTGTTGGCAGCCACGTAGATCCTGGGGATGCCCTCGGCCCTGGCCAGCTCTGAGGTGCGCAGGAAGAGGAGATCCTCCTCGGGGCCAAATGACCCCATCTTGTAGGTGATGTCGTTGACAATGAACACCACCTCGCGGCCCGTGGGGTATTCAGGAGTCCTCAGCTCCATCTTGAAGGCCACCATCCCGATCCCGTTCCCACCGGGAAGGCGATTCATCTGCATCAGTTTGCCCTGGGAGTCCAGCACTAGCTCCGTAAAGGTCAAGACCTCCGCAGGGCATGACTCCGAGGAACACCATAATTTGAACAGAGCCTGAGAAGGAAACATTGGGAGATCAAGTCTCCAAAGGATGGAGGTGTCATCTCGGTCAAAGAGTAGGGAGGGCTCACCTGCCGGATCATTTCCAGGAAGTCGTAGACGTAGGTGGTGCCCAGGGACTGGGCCTGGAAGCGCTTGGACTGCAGCAGATCCTTGGTGACGTATGGCGTGTTGATGAGCATCCCGTGCAGGGGTCCCTGCTTTTCCCCAAAGGAATGGAACATGATCTAGAACAAAGAGAGGTAGGTGTCCCCTCTAAGAACTTGCTAGGTCCTTCAAATAGATAGATAGACAGACAGACAGACAGACAGACAGATAGATGACCAGATAGATGGATAGGTGACTAGATAGATAGATAGGTAGGTAGGTAGATGGGTGGATGGATAGGTAGATGAGTAGACAAACGGATGGTTGAGTAGAAAGATAGAAGGATTGACAGATAAATAGACTAAAGGATGGATAGAAGAACAGACAGGTATAAAGATAAATAGAGAGACACAGATAGGGTGGGTGAATGGATAGATAGATAGATAGATAGATAGATAGATAGATAGATAGATAGACAGACAAGACAGACTGACAGATACAGGAAGGAAGGAAGGAAGGAAGGATGGATATATAGATAGATGAATAAATAGAGTAGATAGGTACAGTAGACAGACAGAAAAATAGATGGATTGAAGGATGGATAGGTAGGTAGATAAAGGTATACACTCTTTAAGGGTTTCAGTTAGACCCCTAGTTGATTGTGAGCCAAGAGTGTTATGGTGCGGCCAAAAGGGGTCAGTGTGATCCCAGATTGAGACCCTTGTCTCAAAGGGGGACTTACACTTCCAGTGCTGGGGTCATAGACCTCCCTGTACAGGCTGATGTCCAGGCGGTACCCAGATTCGTCGGTGAGGAAGAGGCGGACAGGGAGGGCGGGGTCAGAGAGCGACAGGCGGATGTTGATCTTGACCTCAGCCTGAAGGACACGCAGCCGCCACAGACGGCGCCCGTAGCGCATCACCATTGAGCGCACAGACTCCTCAATCTGCATAGGAGCAAATAATAATAAAAGTAATAATATATTACAGTAAAATAATACATCAAATAATAATAAAGCTTCCAATATAATAAAATAATAATAATAATAATAATAGTTATTATTATTATTGCAAAGGCTTTGGCATAAACCAGTACAAGTGGCCCCAGTGGTAATTGACACACTGGGTGCCGTGCCAAATGATCTCAGCCAGCCTTTGAAAACAAAATCACGATCTGTCAACTGCAAAAGGCCACCTTACTTGGATCTGCGCACATCATTCGAAAATACATCACACAGTCCTAGACGCTTGGGAAGTGTTCGACTTGTGATTTTGTGATATGAAATCCAGCATATAGATCTCGTTTGCTGCGACATACTGTGCTTTTGTGTTCATAATAATAACAAGGTAACATCTAGTAGGGCTTCCATAAAAACAACAACAACCACCTTGGCAGGATCCATGACGACGGTGGGGACAAAGTTGAGGAAGATATGGTTGCAGTCGGTACGGAGGCCTTTGTCATTGAAGGCTACCTCCAGCTCATCCATGGCCTCCAGCAACAGGCGCTCTCCTTCATTCTGCAGGTACTCAAAGGAGGCCTCCTGCAAAAGAAAGAGGGTGTGACAATTTATATTTGTGTGTATGTGTGCAATTTTATATTTATTAATATTACTAGCTGTCCCCTGCCACGCGTTGCTGTGGCCCAGTCTGTGTATATGTGTTTTGTGTGTGTATATATTTGTGTATATGTGCATATATGTGTGTTTGCATATATATCTATGTGGTTTTGCAAATGCATTGTAATTTATTTTTATTTATTTATTTGCTTTTTAAGTCTTTTCTGCTGTGTTTTTCAGTATTTTTATGCATGATGGTCACTCATTGGCCTGATAGTGTATTGTGTCCAAATTTGGTGTCAATTCGTCCAGTGGTTTTTGAGTTATGTTAATCCCACAAACGAACATTACATTTTAATTTATATAGATTACCCATTCTATCATTGGTGGGGTTCAGAATGCTCTTTGATTGTAGGTGAACTATAAATCCCAGCAACTACAACTCCCAAATGTCAGTGTATATTTTTCCCCAAACTCCACCAGTGTTCACATTTGGGCATATTGAGTATCAGTGCCAAGTTTGGTCCAGATCCATCATTGTTTGAGTCCACAGTGATCTCTGGATGTAGGTGAACTACAACTCTAAAACCAAAGGACACTGCCCACCAAACCCTTAGTATTTTCTGTTGGTCATGGGAGAACTGTGCGCCAAGTTTGGTTCAATTCCGTCCTTGTTGGGGTTCAGAATGCTCTTTGATTGTAGGTGAACTATAAATCCCAGCAACTACAACTCCCAAATGACAAAATCAATTTTTTAGTGAAGGACATACATTGGGTTGTTAGATGTCTTGTGTCCAAATTTGTTGTCAATTCGTCCAGTGGTTTTTGAGTTCAGTTAATCCCACAAATGAACATTACATTTTTATTTATATAGATTATATAAATTTATCAATTTATCATTGTTCTTACTATTATTTCCTACCAGTCTTGAAATATAATATAATATAATATAATATAATATAATATAATATAATATAATAATCATAACAATTTAAAATAATAATAGCATTGGCATTTTTCATTGCAGGATTGCATTGTTGACATTATTACTATTTTTATATTATTATCACTGTATTACATTAATATACTACCACTCTTAAGGTAAAAAGCAATATAATCAGAATAATATAAGCATAGCACTGGGCTTTTTGGCCCCCACATCACACTGTTGGTTTCTTCTTCTTTCTAACTGGCCTTGAGCAGAGTAATGATAAAGCCAAGATTATCATCATCATCGCATTGGCTTTTTTACTGTAACACCATATTAGCCTTGTGGTTTTATCCTGCGGCCAGTTGATTACCTTGGTGATGAGATCTGAGTGTCGGACGATAGCACGGACAAAGAGGCGCTGGTCGGTGCTCTCAGGGCGGGCCCTGACCCTGGCGGTCCCCAGATAGAGATGCATCTTGTGGTTGGCGCAAGGCAAGGCCTGCAGGTGGAAGTGGCGCATGCGGCTCAGCTCCAGCTGGAAAGCCAAGGCAGGCTCCAGGTGCCGGTAGATGCGGTCCTCACCAAACTGCAGACCAAGGAGATATTAGTATTATGATGGTTATCATTATATCATCATCATATTGTATTGCATTATATTATTATTTTATTATTATATTATATTTATTATTGTCATATTATAAATATTACTATTATTTTGTTATTATATTATTATCATTATATTATTATTATTATATTATTATTATTTCTATATCTTATCAATTTTGTATTGTTATCTATATATATAAATTTGTTAGGGGCATCCAACGAGGAAACAAAACTCAAAAACCCCCCAACGAAACTTAACCAAAATTCCCATGCCCATAACACAACCCACAAGGTACAAACATATCTACTCAAAATGAAAAACAACACAACAACACACTCACAAAACGGCAAAACAACAAAACTCAAAAATCCCCCAACGAAACTTAACCAAAATTCCCATGCCCATAACACAACCCACAAGGTACAAACATATCTACTCAAAATGAAAAACAACACAACAACACACTCACAAAACGGCAAAAGAATAAAACTCAAAAAAAACCCAACGAAACTTAACCAAAATTCCCATGCTCATAACACAACCCACAAGGTACAAACATATCTACTCAAAATGAAAAACAACACAACAACACACTCAAAACGGCAAAAAAACAAAACTCAAAAACCCCCCAACGAAACTTAACCAAAATTCCCATGCCCATAACACAACCCACAAGGTACAAACATATCTACTCAAAATGAAAAACAACACAACACACTCACAAAACGGCAAAAATAAAACTCAAAAAAACCCAACGAAACTTAACCAAAATTCCCATGCTCATAACACAACCCACAAGGTACAAACATATTACTCAAAATGAAAAACAACACAACAACACACTCAAAACGGCAAAAAAAACAAAAAAAAACCCAACGAAACTTAACCAAAATTCCCATGCCCATAACACAACCCACAAGGTACAAACGTATCTACTCTAAATGAAAAACAACACAACAACACACTCACAAAACGGCAAAACAACTGAGCATGCGCATTGGCGCCCAGCCGCAAGTTCCCTGGCGCGCGCACATGCCCTTCCTGCCAACGTTCCCTCTGCGGAAACCATGCCCACTCCAAGCCCCGCCGCGCCGCTTCCCGCACACACACACACCCCTGCCGCACATACACACACACCCCACACTCCATCACTCCCCCCGCCGCCGCACACACACACGCAACCCCACACTCCATCACTTCCCCCGCTGCCGCACGCACACACGCAACCCCACTCCCCCCGCCGCCGCACACACACACGCAACCCCACGCTCCATCACTCCCCCGCCGCCGCACGCACACACGCAACCCCACTCCCCCCGCCGCCGCACACACACACACAACCCCACGCTCCATCACTCCCCCACCCCAATCTTACCTCCTTTTACTTCACGCCACCTCCAAACCCCCCCCCGCCCCTTCCCACCCTGTCAAAATCCAGGCTCCATCACTCCCCCACCCCAATCTTACCTTCTTTTACTTCACGCCGCCTCCAACCCCCCCCCGCCCCTCTCCCGCCCTGTCAAAATCGAGGAAAGACAGGAAGGAAGGAAAGAAGGAAGAAAGAGAAAGGGAGGTAAAGAAAAAGGGGGAAGGAAGGAAAGTTAGAGAAAGAAGGAGAAGGAAAGAAGGAAAGAGAGGAAGGAAGAAAAGAGAGACAGCAGAAGAGAAAGAAAAAGGGGGAAGGAAGGAAAGAGATAGAGAAGGAAGAGGGGAAGGAAAAGGAGGGAAGGAAGGAGGGAAAGAAGGAGAGAAAGAGGGAAGATTGGCCACAGCAACACGTGGCGGGTAAAGGTTGTTATTTCTATTATTATTATTATTATTATTATTATTATTATTATTATTATTATTATGCTATTGTTCCTATGAGACCCTGGAGGAATGGGAGAGGTGTCAGGTCCCAGAGGCAATGCATTGCATTATTGTTATTGTTATGATGGTGGTAAAATAAAAGGAAATAAAAAGTGAAAGAAGGAAGCAAACAGGGAGGGAAGAAAGGCAAAGGAAGAAAGGGGGAGGGAATGAAGGAAAGAGAGAAGGATGAAACCAAGAGTGAAAGAAAGAAAGAGGTAGAGAAGGAAGAAAGGAGAGAAAGGGGAGGAAAAGGGGGAAGGAATAGGTAGGTACCTCTCTTTCATAATAGTCCAGATATCTACCTCAACTTTGATAAGTTTTACTATAGGCCACAGCAACGCGTGGCAGGGCACAGCTAGTTTATTAATAATATTATAATATTAGAATAAGGGTGACGATTTCATACTATTATTATATAACTCTAAATTTTAATATAACATAAATGTTATAATAGTAATAATTATACACAATGTTATAATAATAATACATTCTCCTCTTTCTCCTCCCCTTCAAGGATTAAGATTAAAATACACAGATAAAACATAAGATCGTTAAACACATATATTAAATGAAAGTAATATTAAATAATAATAATAATAACAACAACAACAATATTATTATTATTATTATTATTATTATTATTATTATTAATAATAATAATAATAATAATAATAATAGGGTTGTTGTAGGTTTTTTCGGGATATAAGGCCATGCTCTAGAAGATTTGATTCCGGCCATGAAAGCCTTCGACAATACATTGAACATCTCTACGGGGAGAAACTGTTCCAAGACACATGAAAATTGGAAAAACTAAGGACCAGGAAAGCACATCTACTGTGCTCCCTGACTTTCCTTCTACGCTGCAGAGACACAGATACCATCCCACAATTTCTCGCAGCCAAAAGGACTTTCAAAACTCTAGAACATGGCCATATAGCCCGAAAAAACCTACAACAACCCAGTGATTCCGGCCATGAAAGCCTTCGACAACATGATAATAATAATAATAATAATAATAATAATAATAATAATAATAATATAATGTTGAATATATTTATTATTTTTTTATTTACTGCATTTTTACCCCCCTCTACCTCACCCCAGAGGGAACTCAGAGCGGCTTCCAGTTTAGCAATAATTCAACACCACATTGAACTTAAAAGCAAACAAATACACAACACATTAAACATTAAAATCAGAAAATAAAGTATATAAATACAATTAAATAACAGTTAAAAATATAGCACCAAATCCCACAACCATAGTCCAAGCTGATTCATGTATTCACTGTAGCTGTACTACTGTAGCTGTACTACTCCCCAAACGCTATAATATAAATATAATAATAATATATGTGATATATAATAAAGATACTAATAATAATGGATAAAAATAAGATTAATAAAATAATTTAAATAATAATATACAAATAATATCAATAACAACAATAATAACAGTAATAATACAGGGTACCTTGTCTCGGGCCCGGAAGGTGAAAAACTTGGGAAACTCCCTCTGTAACAGAGAATATAAATTAAAAGGTGAGGGAAAAATATATAAACTAGGTACTTTGTTTTTATCAAAATCAAAATCAAAAATCTTCTTACTATTTAAAACTAATAATTGATAGGTATCAATACGTTCATAGTATTTACACCTACTTGCTGCATGATCAAAAACGTGATTCTTCGGAGCCCATAATCCATGAGGATATTGTTCTGTATTAAAAACAAGAGACCAAAAAAGGGATTAGACTCATAGAATCCTGAGACTTGGAAGGGTTTCCCCTGAGGTCATCTAGTCTGATTCTAATGCTCAATTTAAGGCGGGAGACCCATTATGTCTATAGGCTACTGGGCTTCAAAGAGTGGAAAATCCTAAACTTGGATGGGGGGGGGGGGTCACATGAGGTCATGTAATGTGGCTCCAATTTTCAGTCGAGGAACTTTATTAACATCATTCGAACTCCAATAATCCCTGTAAACAATTCAGGTCCACTGCTTGAACTGCAAATATATTATATATTGGTAATATTATATTATTATGTCATATTATTTCATACTATATCTTTTATTATATTTATTATTAAGATAATAATAATAATAATAATAATAATAATAATATAAATCTGACTGCAAATATATTTTATATTATTAGGATAATACAATTATATTATTATAATATAATAATAATAATAATTCTCAAAGGTCAGAGAACCCCAGACTTGGAAGAGATCACTTGAGGTCATCTAGTCTGGTCCCAATTCTCAATGGAAAACCTCCTTTAAAATCATGAAGCAGAAAGACCCCCTTTATTTCTCTAGATTATTGGGGTCCATTGCTGAACTCCAAAGGACAGAGGACCCTTGACTCAGAAGGACCCTCTGAGATCATCTAGTTCAGTGTTTCTCAACCTGGGGGTTGGGACCCCTGGAGGCGTCGCGACGGGGTTTCAGAGGGGTCGCCAAAGACCATCAGAAAACACAGTATTTTCTGTTGGTCGTGGAGGTTCTGTGTGGGAAGTTTGGCCCAATTCAATCGTTGGTAGGATTCAGAATGCTCTTTCATTGTAGGTGAACTATAAATCCCAGCAACTACAACTCCCAAATGTCAAGGTCTATTTTCCCCAAACTCCATCAGTGTTCACATTTGGGCATATTGAGTATTTGTGCCAAGTTTGTCCAGATCCATCATTGTTTGAGTCCACAGTGCTCTCTGGATGTAGGTGAACTACAACTCCCAAACTCAAGGTCAATGCCCACCAAACCCTTCCAGTATTTTCTGTTTATCATGGGAGTTCTGTGTGCCAAATTTGGTTCAATTCCATCTTTGGTGGAATTCAGAATGCTCTTTTATTGTAAGTGAACTATAAATCCCAGCATCTACAACTTCCACTTCCTACAAAATCAATGCCCTCCCCCAGTCCCACCAGTATTCAAATTTGGGTGTATTGGGTATTTGTGCCAAATTTGGTACAGTGAATGAAAATACATCCTGCATATCAGATATTTACTATTCCAGGGGACAGCACCATCTTGTCTCCTGCATTTGCCATCTGTTGGGGACCCCTCCCCCCAGCACCAACTGCTGCTCTGGGCCAGAGCGAAGAGAGGGGAGGCCAGGGGACAGTTCCACCTTGTCTCCTGTGCTATTCTAATAATATGTTATAATATAATATATTGTATATACATATAATATTTATAATATTGTAATGTAATGCAATATAATACTAGTAATTGTTTTTAAATGCATGATTTTGTATTCTGTATATCTAAACTGTTGTAAACCGCTCTGAGTCGCCTAAGGGCTGAGAAGAGCGGTATACAAATAAAATAAATAAATAAATAACATCAGCAAAATGACAGTTATGAAGTAGCAACGAAACTAATGTTATGGTTGGGGGTCACCATAACATGAGGAAGTGTATTAAGGGGTCGTGGCATTAGGAAGGTTGAGAACCACTGATCTAGTCTGACCCCATTTATTTATTTATTTATTTATAGTATTTATATTCCGCCCTTCTCACCCCACAGGGGACTCAGGGCAGATTACAATGTACACATATATGGCAAACATTCAATGCCAAAGACACACTGTGATAAGAAGTTCCTTATCTTAAAGGGAGACCTTGGACTGTGCAAAGGACCGGAAGACAGGCACCAGCTCCTCATCTTCGCCTTGATCCACAAAACGGAGGGCAACATTCAGGATATGGATGGGCTCCTCCCGGAGATTCTGCAGCAAAATATTAAGATATGTATTACTGAAAATTTAACAATAAACGTCAATTAAAAAAAATAAACTAATCTGACCTTCTGATCCTCTTCTTCGTCTTCTTCGTCATAACGGGTAGCCCTGGCATCCCGGAAGAGGGGCCCCTCCGAGGGTGGGTCCGCAAAACAGGAAATGACCTCATCGAAGTTCCTGAGGGGCCCCGTCCACCAAAGAGAAAAAATGTTATCAATGATATTATTTTATTATTATTAGTTTATTGTTTTACTTTAATATATTTAATAGGCATATAATATTGTATTAATATTAACATATAATATTGTACTGATATTAACACAAATAGATTTATATTGATATTAATAAAATATACAATTTATAAATATTAATAAAATGTCCATGTATATTTGTATATTATGTAAGTTAATATTTTAGTATTTTAATATAGTTTTATTTTGATAAAATGAAGAAAAATGTAATATTGTATTAATATTAATACACATTATATATATTAAGTATTACGAGGCATATGTACGTTGATATATGTATATTATGTAAATGAACATTTTATTAATATTATTTTAATATTAGTATTGTTTTTAATGAAGTTAATATGTATTTTTTAAAATATTGATTTTTTTATATTTTACATATTAATTTTATATTTTACATATTAATAAGAATATATATGTCTATATAGGTATATTATGTATGTGTGTGTGTGCATATATATATATATATATATATATATATATATATAATAAGTAACTACATGCATATTATGTATGTGTATTAAAGTATAAGCAAACGTGTGTCTATATATGCATATTATAAAAGTTAATATTTTTATTATTATTATAGTGACCAGAAATGCCGGTCCCTCACTTTCTGTTGTGACAAAAGTCCCTTGACTACCTAGTGAAGTCCTGGAAGTGGTCAAAGGCCACCATGACGCCCATCCGCTGGGAAAGAGGGGAGAAGCCGCTGTCCATGAAGAGCTCAGTGCTGTGACGGGACAAGTCCGGGTTCGAGAGCCCTACCGGGATACACATCCTGCAAGAACAACAACAACTGTAATAATAACAATAACAATTGTCATTAAGCAGGAGCTAGCTGGCCACCTGTCGGGAGGGATCACATGATGGCAGAATGGGAGTTGGTCTGGATGGCCCTCTGTGAGGGTCCCTTCTAAATCTAGGATTCTAGCATTAACATCAACATTAGTATTATTGGGTTGTTGTAGGTTTTCCGGGCTATATGGCCATGTTCTAGAGGCATTTTCTCCTGACGTTTCGCCTCACTACCTCTGAGGATGCTTGCCATAGATGTAGGCAAAATGTCAGGAGAAAATGCCTTTAGAACATGGCCATATAGCCCGGAAAACCTACAACAACCCAGTGATTCCGGCCATGAAAGCCTTCGACAATATATTAGTATTATTACTATTTTTATTGATTAGAGGCTGGATGACCATCTGTTGGGGGATTGCATGGTGTCCTTCTACAATTATTGGTATTATTAAGCAGAGGCTGGACGGGCATCTGTCGAGAAAGATTTGATGGGGACTTTCTATAATAATAATAATAATAATAATAATAATAATAATAATAATAATTCAATGTGGGTGATAGAGACAGTTTTATACAGTGGATTTTGATGATTTTAATATTTATATATGTGTACAATTTATGTATATCCCGGCATTGAATGTTTGCCGTTTTATGCTGTGTTCCTCCCTGAGTCCCCTTTGGGGTGAGAAGGACAGAATATAAATGCTTTAAATAATAAAATAAAATAAAATAATAATAATAATAATAAGGCAAAGGCTAGATGGCTATCTCGGGAGGGACTGGATGGTGCCTTTCTTCATTGAAGAAGAATGAGCTGGATGGCCCTCTGTGGGGCGGGATCGGATGGTGTCTGGCCTTACCTGTTAGGATGGGAGGAGGGCAGCCTGAACTGGAATTGCAGGAGGCAGGTGTTATCAGTCAAGGGGCGGTGCTGCAGGCCTTGTAGCTCATAGGCTATGTAGGCCCTCCGTACATAAACCTATAGGACACAAATAGGGAGGGACAGGAATGATGTTGAGGAAGAGGCAGACCATTCCAGGATGCAGCCGCAGCAAGGAAGCTGCAGACCCACAGACCCCTTTGGTCAAATCTAGAAGAATTGGGTCCAACTGCTTATTATTATTATTTATTGATAAAAAAATGTCATTAATTTATATTTATTATAATTAAGTAGTATCAAGTAAGAATAATTTATTATTTATTAATTATATTATAATATTATTTTTATTAATCATCATTATTAGTTAATATTTATTATTATTAATAATAATAATATTTATTGATGTACCTCAAAGGTAAGTCATAGTTCGACTCTTCTGCTTTGGTCAGGGATCCTCACCTGGAATAATAACCCTGGGTCCAGTTCCTCCTCCTCCTCCTCCTCCTTCTTCTTATTATGTTATGAATTATTTAGTATTCTTAGTTTATTATATTTTCTTAATTTATTACAAATTATTATTCTTGATTCATTCTAAATAAATAATCTATAGGGTTGTTGTAGGTTTTTTTGGGCTGTATGGCCATGTTCTAGAGGCATTCTCTCCTGACGTTTCGCCTCCATCTATGGCAAGCATCCTCAGAGGTTGTGAGGTCTGTTGGAACGAAAAAAGGGTTTATATATCTGTGGAATGACCAGGGTGAGACAAAGGACTCTTGTCTGCTGGAGCTAGGTGTGAATGTTTCAACTGACCACCTTGATTAGCATACAATGGGCTGACTGTGCCTGGAGCAAACTTTTGTTGAGAGGTAATTAGATGTCCCTGCCTGCTTCCTCTCTGTTGTTGTGCTGTTGCAATTTTAGAGTTTTTTAATACTGGTAGCCAGATTTTGTTCATTTTCATGGTTTTTTCCTTTCTGTTGAAATTGTCCACATGCTTGTGGATTTCAATGGCTTCTCTGTGTAGTCTGACATGGTGGTTGTGAGAGTGGTCCAGCATTTCTGTGTTCTCAAATAATATGCTGTGTCCAGGTTGGTTCATCAGGTGCTCTGCTATGGCTGACTTCTCTGGTTGAAGTAGTCTGCAGTGCCTTTCATGCTCCTTGATTCGTGTTTGGGCAATGCTGCGTTTGGTGGTCCCTATGTAGACTTGTCCACAGCTGCATGGTACACGGTAGACTCCTGCAGAAGTGAGAGGATCCCTCTTGTCCTTTGCTGAACGTAGCATTTGTTGGATTTTCTTGGTGGGTCTGTAGATAGTTTGTATGTTGTGTTTCCTCATCAGCTTCCCTATGCGGTCAGTGGTTCCCTTGATGTATGGCAAGAACACTTTTCCTCTGGGTGGATCTTCATCTTGACTCTCGTGGCTTGTTCTTGGTCTTGCAGCTCTTCTGATGTCTGAGGTGGAGTCTCCATTGGCCTGTAGAGCCCAGTTGAGGTGGTTCAGTTCATCTTGGAGGAGGTGGGGTTCGCAGATTCTTTTTGCATGGTCTGCCAAGGCTTTAATGGTGCTTCTTTTTTGACTTGGGTGATGGTTGGAGTTTTTATGTAGATATCTATCTCTGTGTGTGGGTTTTCTGTAGACGGTGTGACCCAATTGTTGATCTGGTTTGCGGATGACTAGGACATCTAGAAAAGGCAGTCTTCCTTCATTTTCTTTTTCCATGGTGAACTGGATGTTTGGGTGGATGCTGTTAATCTATAGTTATTCTTAATTTATTATTATTATATTATAGTTTTATTACTATAATTAATAATACATGATTATACTTAATTCAATTAGTTTTAATCAGCTTGTCTTTTAATCATTACATGTAGCCCACCCATTGTTATTGTGCCTGTGATTATTGTAATTTTTCACATTATTATGTATGCATATGTTTTATATTAATATGATGTTATTGTTATTGTTCGCGTTTTCGGTTTGTGTTTTGGTTTTTTTTTATTATTGTAATTGTTATTTGGGCTTGGCCTCATGTAAGCCGCTCCGAGTCCCCATCGGGGAGATGGTGGCGGGGTATAAATAAATATTATTATTATTATTACTTTAGCAGTATTAGTCATTATTATTATTCTTATTATTATTATTATTGAAATACCTCCAAGGCTGCCATGCGGACCACTGGCTTGTCGTGATAGAAGAAAGTGGGCAAGACGTCAAAGATGGTGGTTTCTGAAAGGATCAACTTCTGCAAGGAATGCATAGAAAGAACAAATGTTTCTAGATGAGTTAGGAAACAGGGCAACTTACACAACAGAGATGGGAAACATCAAGGGTTTTCTTTTTATATAATTTACTATGAATGTTATATATGTATTTGTCATAGGAAGTATTATTATAATATAATGCTGGAGCATGTATTTTGTCAGATATGGGTATGTTACGATCTATATTATATTAACAACAACAACAACAACAATGTATCTCTGAACATGTCTTTTCTCAAAAGAAATATCATAAAGTACAATTGACATTAAATTAATAATAATAATAATCGTTTGTGTTCAAAATCTGAAACCTTTCTGGTCCCAAGTGTTTTGGATATGGGATACTCAACCTGTATTGTCATGTGTATTTATTGATCGATTGATTATTGATCAATTATTGGCTGACTTACCTTGAGGTTTTCAGGGCAGAACTGGTGCCCATACAGATCGATGGCTGAGAGGAAGATGGACTCCACCTGGTTGAGCCTCAGTTCGTAGGATGGCAGGTGGGATGCAATCAACACCTAAAAGGGATATTAAATAATAATAATAATAATAATAATAATAATAATAATATTTAAATAGGTTGATTGGATTATTTGTATGTGAAGATAATGCAGCATTTATATATTGGATTTAAGACAAAATAATAATATATTATTATGCCAATTAGCTTCCGAGCACAATTCAAAGTGCTGGTGTTAACCTATAAAGCCCTAAACGACTCCGGCCCTGTTTACCTCTCCGAACGTATTCTCCCCTATGAAACATCAAGATTAATAAGATCGTCTGGAGAGGCCCTGCTCTAGGTCCCACCGGCCTCGCAAGTGCGCCTGGTGGGGACGTGGAACAGGGCCTTTTCAGTGGTGGCCCCTCGACTCTGGAACTCTCTCCCACTGGAGATCAGAACCGCCCCTTCTATCCTGACATTTAGGAAACAGGTGAAGACTTGGTTATGGAGACAGGCATTCGGCGAGTGAGCCAACACCCTGAGATATGGATGGAGGATGATGAGCAACGATTTTAGTGTGACGACTGATCATTGTAGTTATTGACAGTAATTGCTGTTTTAATGTTTTACTGTAATATGAATTACGATGTTTTATTGATTGTCTGTGATATTATGGTTGGAAACCGGTCTGAGTCCCTCAAGAGAGGTGAGAAGGCTGGTATATAAAACTTTTAAATAAATAAATAAATAATATTAATATTACTACAATATTAACATTAATATCAATCATGTAGTACTATAATGTAATGACATTAATAGTTATAAACATTAATAATGAGATGCAGTGGCAAAAAAAGCCAATGGGATTTTGGCCTGCATCAATAGGAGTCTAGTGTCTAGATCCAGGGAAGTCGTGCTCCCCCTCTATTCTGCCTTGGCTAGACCACACCTGGAATATTGTGTCCAATTCTGGGCACCACAACTGAAGGGGGATGTTGACAAGCTGGAATGTGTCCAGAGGAGGGCGACTAAAATGATCAAGGGTCTGGAGAACAAGCCCTATGAGGAGCGGCTTAAGGAGCTGGGCATGTTTAGCTGAAGAAGAGAAGGCTGAGAGGAGGATATGATAGCCATGTATAAATATGTGAGAGGAAGCCACAGGGAGGAGGGAGCAAGCTTGTTTTCTGCTTCCCTGGAGACTAGGACGCGGAACAATGGCTTCAAACTACAAGAAAGGAGATTCATCTGAACAGGAGGAAGAACTTCTTGACTGTGAGAGCTGTTCAGCAGTGGAACTCTCTGCCCTGGAGTGTGGTGGAGGCTCCTTCTTTGGAAGCTTTTAAACAGAGGCTGGATGGCCATCTGTCAGGGGGTGATTTGAATGCAATATTCCTGCTTCTTGGCAGGCGGTTGGACTGGATGGCCCATGAGGTCTCTTCCAACTCTTGGATTCTATGATTCTATGATTCTATGATTAGTCGCCTTGAGTCCCCCCTCCCCCCTCGGGGGGGGGGGGGGTGTTGAGAAGGGCGGGGTACAAATATTTGAAATAAATAAATAACAAAATGAGGCCATCTAGCCTGACCTGCCTGGCCCTGAGGGCCACCTTGGCATTCTCCGTCCGGTGCAGCTGTGTCAGTTCATTCAAGATGGTTTCCAGCTCCTCCGTCAGAGTTGGGTCTCGGCCCCAGAGCTGCTCCTGCAGGGAATAAGAGGACAGAAAGGGATTTGTCTAGATGCTCTTGGGGGACCCTCCCCTTCTGACTCTAAGGATGGTCCTCACATGAATGTGTGTGTATATCAGCATTTTTTAGTGTGGTCCATGGAGCCTTTGGGGCTCCAGGAAGGATATTGAGGGGCTCCAGGCTTCTTTCCCCCTCCTTCATTTCCTCCCGCAATTAGTTCACACAAATTTTAAAGCATCAAAAAGTTGCCCATGCCTGATTTATATAAATTATATGTAATATACAATATAATATATAAACATTTCTTGGGGCTCCACAAAAAACTTTTGCTTCAAAAAGGGCTCTATGGCTGAAAAAGTTTGAGAACTCCTGGTATATAATTATATATATATATATATGTGTGTGTGTGTGTGTGTGTGTGTGTGCGTGCGTTTATATATGTTTATATACACAAATACATATTTCATATATATATGTACACACACACATATACATGTTCGTATGTAAATACATATGTGTCTATATTTATATAAAGTTATTATTATTAACATTTTTATTATTTCTTCCAACCAGCACTGAGATAAGAGATGATGATGATGATGATGATGATGATAATAACAATAATAAGGATAGTAATATAATTGACCTTTTGACTGCAGCATCAAATTGTTGGCATTATTATTATTATTATTATTACTATCATCAATCATCAATGTGATGATGATGTTTTTATTGTACTTATATTTTAATGTGTAGTGATGATGCACTGTGTTGTTGTATATGAACACATGTTGTGAACCGGCCTGAGTCCCTCCTTGGAGGTGAGAAGACCAGTATATAAAACTTATAAATAAATAAATAAATAAATAAATAAATTACTACTATCATTAAAGTATTATTATTATTATTATTATTATTATTATCATTAATACTTAATTTATCATTATTATTACCAGACCTGAGATAAGAAATACAATAATATACAATAAAATAGTATATTAATAATATACATATATAATAATTATTTTTATAGTTATTATTCTTGTTAATACTTAATTTATCATTATTATTACCAGACCCGAGATAAGGAATATAATAATATACAATAAAATAGTATATTAAGAATATACATATATAATAATTATTTGTATAGTTATTATTCTTATTAATACTTAATTTATCAATTATTACCAGACCTGAGCTAAGAATATAATATAATAATATACAATAAACTAGTATATTAATAATATACATATATATAATAATTATTTTTACAGTTATTATTCTTATTAATACTTATCATTATAATTACCAGACCTGAGATAAGAAAGAATATAATAATATACAATAAAATAGTATATTAATAATATACATATATAATAATTATTTTTATAGTTATTATTCTTATTAATACTTAATTTATCATTATTATTACCAGACCTGAGATAAGAAAGAATATAATAATATACAATAAAATAGTATATTAATAATATACATATATAATAATTATTTTTATAGTTATTATTCTTATTGTTTATATCTTATGTTCCAAATAAAGAGTAAAAGCCCATTAAAAATACATAGACACCTTTGGGGCCTCTTTCTCTGGAAGGTTCTGCCCTTTTTCAGGAGGGATCGGATAGTGGCTTCCTTCCTCCCTGTCAGACTGAATGGCCCCTTGGGGGGTGGTTCCTTTTCACCTCTAGTGAAAGTCTATGGCCCTATTTCTCCCTGCCTGATGTCTGTAGCCACCTAGGGCTCATCTAGATACCCTCGGGGGCCCCTTCACTCACGATGAGGCTGGCCACCAGGCGGTTCTTGTAGGCCACTTGGGAGTGGGAGAAGAGGCAGCCCAGGACCGGGGACATGTCCCGCAAGTGGCGCTCCCGCAGGCGCATCACACTCTTCTCATAATGAGCTGCAAAGAGGAATGGAAGGAAGGAAGGAAGGAATAGAAGGGGAAATCAATATTCTGGAAAGGGAATATATTAAAGCCAACTCTACCTTGCTGGAACTCGGACTCCACCTGCAAGTAGCGCCTCAAGAGGTCCAAGACCACCGACTTCATGTGGCCCCGGATCCCACTGCGGTACCTGGATATGGAGAAGATTATTTTGTTGTTGTTATTACTATTATTATTAATAATCTTATAATCTCGCATTTAGTTTTATATATTAATATAATATTTATTATTAAAATATTTTATTAATAATCATGTATTTATATTTTACTAGCTGTCCCCTGCCACGCGTTGCTGTGGCCCAGTCTGGTGATCTGGAAAATAAAGTAATGAGAAAGTGTTGGTTTCTAATATATGAATTCCTTTATGCTTGTGAGTAAACAGTATTTCTTGTTGTTTCTTTGTCAGTGTTGATGTGGAGAGTGTCTGGTTTGCCTACTCTGGAACATGCAACACAGAATTGTCCTTCTTTAGGTGCCCCTTTCAAATCTAGGATACTATATCTGTCATATACATACATACATACATATGTGTGTGTGTGAATTATATATATCATAGTCCTTTTTTAAGGGTCTCTTTCAAATCTGTGATACTATATCTGTGTGTGAGAGAGAGAGAATCATATCTATCTATCTATCTATCTATCTATCTATCTATCTATATTTATGACTGGATGGCTCTTTGTCAGGAGGGCTCTGATTACATTTTCTTGCCCTGGTGAAGAGAGTTGGACTGGATGGCCTTAAGTATTTTCTGTTAGTCATGGGGGTTCTGTGTGGGAAGTTTGCCCCAATTCTGTCGTTGGTGGGGTTCAGAATGCTCCTTGATTGTAGGTGAACTATAAATCCCAGTAACTACAACTCCCAAATATTAAGGTCTATTTCTCCCAAACTCCATCTGTGTTTATATTTGGGCATATTGCGTATTTGTGCCAAGTTTGGTCCAGATCAATCATTGTTTGAGTCCACAGTGCTCTCTAGATGTAGGTGAACTACAATTCCAAAATTCAAGGTCAATGCCCACCAAACCCTTCTAGTATTTTCTGTTGTTTATGGGAGTCCTGTGTGCCAAGTTTGGTTCAATTCCATTCTTGGTGGAGTTCAGAATGCTCTTTGATTATAGGTGAATCATAAATCTCAACAACTACAACTCACAAATGACAATATCATAATTTTTTGAGTGGACACTCTTTGTGTTGTGAGACATTTTGTTGCCAAATTTGGTGTGATTTCATTCATGAGTTCTTTTGTTTTTTAAGGTACTCATTATGCACAGAGCATTTATATATAGATAGATAGATAGATAGATAATATAATAATAACAACACAAACTACTTTGCATCTCGAAGAGATTAAATAAATAATCATACAATATAAAATAATTTGTACCTATGAACATAATAGAAACACACACACACACACATATCTATATATATAGATAGATATATATGAATATATATAGGAGCCTCCGGTGGTGCAGTGGGTTAAAGCACTGAGCTGCTGAGCTTGTTGATCGAAAGGTCACAGGTTCGATTCCAGGGAGCAGCGTGAGCTTCCGCTGTCAGCCCTAGCTTCTGCCAACCTAGCAGTTCGAAAACATGCAAATGTGAGTAGATCAATAGGTACCGCTCCGGCGGGAAGGTAACGTCGCTCCATGCAGTCATGCCGGCCACATGACCTTGGAGGTGTCTACGGACAACGCTGGCTCTTCGGCTTAGAAATGGAGATGGGCACCACACCCCAGAGTCAGAAATGACTGGACTTAATGTCAGGGGACTACCTTTACCTTTTATATGAACATGAACGGGTGTGCATCTGAGATAAATAAAAATAAGATATGATATAATATGAACATAATATGAATATGGGATGATGCTAGTACAATATCAATAAGTTTCCCCTTGACATTAAGTCTAGTCATGTCCGACTCTGTCGGGTGGTGCTCATCTCAATTTCCAAGCCGATGAGCCAGCTTTGTCCATAGATGCCTCCAAAGTCATATGGCCGGTGTGACCGATTGGAGTGCCGTTACCTTCCTGCCAAAGTGGTACTTATTGATCTAGTTACATTTGCATGTTTTCAAATTGCTAGGTTGGCAAAAGCTGGGGCTGACTCACCCTGGATTTGAACCGCTGACCTTTCAATCAGCATGTTCAGCAGCTCAGTGGTTATATATACTGTATATACTGTATATACCCCTTTTTTAGGCTGAAAAAGCCCCCCTCGGCTTATACTCGAGTCAAAGTTATTTATTATTTTACTCTGCTGCTGTTGTTGTTGTTATTATTATTATTACATTTATTATTTTACTCTCTATATTATTATTATTATTATTATTATTATTATTATTACATTTATATTATTTTACTTTATTATTATTTTATTACATTTCCATTATTTTACTCTATTGTTAATATTTTTATTACATTTATTATTTTACTCTATTATTATTGGAAGGATACATAAGCACATTTACATTGGAGAAGGTTAGAATAATGGTTTAATCAGAGTTGGACAGTCTCATCTTAAATTACAGTTTTATGTAATTATTCAAAAACATTTAACCTAGTGAATCCTCAATTAATGTAATTGTATTAGTGTGTATATACGATATATATATACACACACACAACCACATATGACATAAATATAAAACTTATAATAAATAATACGAACCACTTTGCATCTCAAATAAGTGAAAGTGTGATATATGAACATAATATGAATATAACAATAACATAATATAATATAAATGTAATATGATGATGATGATAACAACTATAATAATATTGCCTTTGGACCAGCTGGACAATGCTCTGGGTGTCCATGAAGAAGGCCTCCCGATCGGCCTTGCGTTGCAATGTTGCAGCATGACTGTCCAGGATACTGGCGATCTTAAAGGGAAGGAACACGATAAACAATCTCAAACAAGATCTATAATTTTCCTTAGCAAGCTGCTACAACAATAACAATAACAACAATAACTATAATAATAACAATAACAGTAATAATACCCATAATAATAATACTAATAAAATCACTAATAAATTATGATTATCGTCCTGGTCACCTGCTGGCTGGGGAACTGGCAGAGGACAGAGGTGGCGTTGCTGGCGTATTGGGCCATGGCCATCCGTATGGCCTTCTCCACAGAGGGTGGCAGGCGTCCCGAGAGGCTGGTCATGAGGTCCTGCAGCTCCAGGAGGGGCAGGGAGGGGTCCCGCAGGGTCTCCATCAGCGTCCTGACCCACTCCTGAACCTGAAGGGGGAGGGATGCCAGAGAATGAGGGGAGGTAAGAGCCCCCCCCCCCCAAAGGACCCCCAGAGAACATCCCTCTCCATTTACCTTGGTGCTGAAGTAGGGCTCCGGCAAGCAGTACCCATTCAGGACATTCACAAGGCTGTCCAGGACATTTCGAAAGACCTGGTGGGGATTCCCCCCGAGGAGGGGCAGGGGCTGCTGTGAAGGGAGGCCTCCGGTGTAGAGCTGGGCCTGGAGGACAGCCATAAGGACACATTGGAGGATCTGGAACCTCCCAGGCAGGTGTTCTTCTAGCCTTCCCAAACATTGGGAGCTGCCTAGTCAGTTGTTCTCCCTAGATTTCCAAAGTACTGGTATACCTAGAACTTTCTACATAGCTGTTCTCTCTAGTCCAGCAGTTCCACACTGAACTTCTGCTAGAAGATGATCACAGAAACACATTAGTGTACCTAGAACCTTATAGACTTCCACTGAGGGTTAACCACAAGAATGCATAAGAGAACCTAGAATGTCTTGGATATTGTTTCTCTTCAGTTTTGAAAGCACTGGTGGACCTAGAATCTCTTATGTAGATTTCTCTCTCTAATTTTAGCTTTATAGACAACTTCCATTGGAGATTGACTGTTGGAGGGCCTAGAACCTCCCAGACCTCCACTTGATGTATCACAGAAACTCATTGGCAGACCTAGAACATCCTAGATATGTGTTCTTTCTAGTCTTCCAACCAAATGGACAACTTCCACTAGAGGTTGAACAGAGATACATTTGAGGGCCTACAACTTCATAGTCCATAAGAATGCATTGGAGAATCTGGAATCTCCTAGATAGGTGTTCTTTCTAGGTCTCCAGCTCTATGGACAACTTCTATTGGAGGTTGACCATTGGGAAACCTAAAACATCCTAGACAGGTGTTTCCCTTAGCCTTCCAATGCATTGGTGAGACAAGAACCTCATGACAGGGTTTGTCTCTAATCCTCCAGCTCTACACTCAACTTCCATTGGAGGTTGACCATAGTGACACATTGGCAGATGTAAAAACTTGTAAGCAGGTCTTCTCTCTAGACTTCCAACACATTGGTAGACCTAGAACCTCTGAGACAGCTCTATGGGGTGCTTTGAATGCGATTTTCCTGCTTCTTGGCCGGGAGTTGGACTGGATGGCCCACGAGGTCTCTTCCAGCTCTGTGATTCTATGGTCAACATTCAATGATGATGGTTAGAAAACCTAGAACCTCATAGGCAAGTGTCTCCCTGAGGTGACTTTATGGTCAATATCCACTGTAAGGTGACCTAGAACCTCCTGGACTCACTGGGTGAACTTTGCTGGGGTTGTCCAGTTCCAGCTTGGCGATGATGCATCCGGGCTCCAGCAGGGTGCCGGGGCGTTTCAGGTAATGGATGACCCCAGAGTCCTCCACGGAGAGGGTCACTACCATCTTCATAACCTACAGAGCAAGAAGGACCAAGAGGTGATGCAACCTAAGATTGCATTGGTCTTTTAAGCTGCTGCATTGCACTGCTGGCTGAGGCTCACCTCCATTTCTGCATAGCTGTCTCCAGCACAGACATGGCTCCCATCGTCCACAGTGTAATGCAGCAGCTTCCCGGCAGAAGAAGAGCGGAGCAGCGTTGGATCGTTCTCCTTCTCAAAGTCGCAGGTTTGATTGCCAACAGTGATGCGGTACCTGCAGGATCAAGGGGAGGGAAGGCTGTGTGATCAAGGCCATCTCCCGGCCTTTGGGTCCAACTCAAGGATTCCCATTGGGAAGAGCGTTCAAGTCAAAGAAGAGAGAAAAAAAGATGAAAGAGAGGAAGGGAGGGAGGGCAGATATGAGAAAGGGAGAAGGAAGAAAAAAAGAAGACTGGAGACTAGGACGCAAAACAATGGCTTCAAACTACAAGAAAGGAGATTCCATTTGAACATGAGGAAGAACTTCCTGACTGTGAGAGCCGTTCAGCAGTGGAACTCTCTGCCCCGGAGTGTGGTGGAGGCTCCTTCTTTGGAAGCTTTTAAACAGAGGCTGGATGGCCATCTGTCAGGGGTGATTTGAATGCAATATTCCTGTTTCTTGGCAGGGGGTTGGACTGGATGGCCCATGAGGTCTCTTCCAACTCTTTGATTCTATGATTCTAGGAGTGAGCGAGGGAAGGAGGGAGAGAGAAAGAAAGGGAGAAGCAGAGAAAGGAAGGACGGTAGAAACAGAGAGGGAAGAAACTCAGAATACTCCAGGAGGGAGTCGTGGTGCAGTGGTTTGAAGCTCGGACAAAGGCCTTCTTGTCTCAGAGAAGGGGAAAAAAGGCAGGCCCTTCCTTCTTCTCAGACTGGATGAAGGCCGTGAATGATAGGGGCATGGGACATGCCTACCTGCCAAGGTCCTCTTGCATGTAGGTAGTGTGGCTGCTCCCACCGAAGGAGAGGAGGAGTCCACCATCATTCAGTCGGTGGACATCTACCTCCAGGAGGGAGCCGTTCATCAGGACCACATAGGTGCTCAGAGACTGGCGTGCCACCTGTGAAAAAGGACTGTCAGTTGTTGCTGTAGTTGTTGTTGTGTGCCTTCAAGACATTTCAGACTCAGGAAAACCCTAAGGCAATGCTCTCAAAGAGTTTTCTTGTCAAGATTTATTCAAAGGGGATTGGCCTTTGTTTTCCTCTGAGGCTGACAGTGCGTGACTTATCATCCAATGTGTTCAGAGCCACAGTCCGAGTTTTAAACCACTACACCACATTTTTTGAATTCCTTCTCTCTCTCCTTCCTTCCTTCCCTGTTTCCTAGCTAACCTTTTTCTGCCTTTTCTCCCTCCCTTCTTCCTGTCTCCCACTCTTTTCTTCCTTTTGTTTCCTAGCTATCCTTAGTTCTTCCCTCCCTCCCTTTTTCACTTCCTTTTGTTTCCCTCTGCCCCTCCCTCACTTTTTCCCCCGCTATCCTTCCTTCTCTCTTTACTTTTTCCTTCCTTTTTTCTTTCTCCCCTTCCCTTCTTTTTCTCCTTTCTGCTTCCTATTTTCTCCCTTTTCTCCCTCCCTCCTTCCTTCCATTCTTTCTACCCTTCCCTCCTTTGCTCCTTCATTTTCTCTTTTCCCCCTTCTTTCCTTCCCTTTCTCCCCCTCCTTTCCTTTTCTCCTCCCTTCCCTCCCTCCTTGCTTTCCTCCCTTCTTCCACCTTCCCTCCTTCCTTCCCGATCTCTTTACCTTCAGGACGTATTTAATGCCATCGGAAATGAGTTCAACATCAACGAGATTCAGGAGGGAAGTGGCCGGCAGCACTTGGCCCCTGGATAAGATTGAAATAGCATTATTATGCTTTTAAAATATTTTCATGGCTCGATTATTGATTTTATGGCCATTACCTTTCCAGGGAATGCAAGAAGTCGTCCCTGCAGGTCCGGAAGGCAGCGTCGGCCACATTCAACGCCCCACAAACCACTCCCAGCATGGTGTCTGGCTTCTCTGCCTTTTGAGCAAAAATAGCAACAATAACAACAACAACATATAAGAAAAGGAATAGGAATAATCATGTGTTGTTTCTGTCTTTAAGAAATAATAATAATAATAATAATAATTCATTTATTTTATTTTTTTGACTTGTATACCACTACTCCCAATTTGGCTCGCAGATGATTGGGAAGTGTTTGACTTGTGATTTTGTGATACGAAATCCAGCATATAGATCTTGTTTGCTGTGACATACTGTGTTTTTGTATCAGTAAAATAATAATAATAATAATAATAATAATAATAATAATAATGGGAATAATAGCACAGTGCCCAGCTTTTCTTCAAGAAAGAAGAAGAAGAAGAACAACAACAACAACAACAAGGTACCTGGTGTCTCAAGCCTTTGAGAATGAATGGATAAATATTATATTATAATATATACATATACATACATATATATAATAAGAATAGATTAATAAAATGAATTAAAAAGCGAAACATTTCTAGCCTCACGATTCAACAAAATCATAATAAAAAATGCCCCCCCCCCCCCAAGGACTGGACTACCAGTATAACCATACAAAGGAGACATCGACAATTATTCAACATACTACCCAATATGCCTATTGTGTCATGAAATGAAAGCATTTAAAAGAATACTGGATGAAAGGCTAAGAAGTCACACAGCTGTTACACCAAATCAGTGTGGCTTTGTCAGGGGGAGTGGCACAACAGATGCTGTTCGGTTACTTATGGAAAAACATTGGGAAAAGAAGAAACCACTGCACTTTGCATTTCTTGATCTCAAAAACAAACAAACATTTGATTGGGTTCCCCATGACCTGATCTGGCAAGCACTATGGTCACATGGAATAACAGAAGACTATGTAAGATGGATAAAGCTACTATACAATAATACAACAAGTATAGTCCGCTGCCCTGCAGGATTTCACCACCCTTCAACATCACTATTGGCGTACATCAGGGATCAGCACTCTCACCATTATTATTCATACTCTGCACAGACACTGCTGCCGCGGATTTACAGACTATGCATCCCAGGACATTCTCATATGCAGATGACATTGCACTCAGACACCAAAAATGTGCAGTTCTCCAACAACAGTTGCAGACATGGAGTGAAAGTGAACTTCAGCTGAACATACCCAAAACAGAGTATCTGGAATGTGGCCTTCAAACTGGAAAAGCAATCCAAATTAATGGGCAAGCACTAAAGAAGGCCAGTTAATTTAAATACCTGAGGTCACTGGTCTCCATAGATGGTGACACAAAGCCAGATGTACAGTCACGAATAAATGCTGCCTGGTTTAGATGGCGGCAAACTACTATGTGACTCAAAAATGCCTGTACAACTCAAGGCTAAGATCTACACTAGTTGTTTGCCCAGAGTTGGCAGAGTGCTGACCAACAACAAAGAAACATGTACAAGATCTTAACACAAAGGAAATGGAAATCCTGAGATGGACACTTGGCTTGACACGTCTTGACCATGTGACAAATGATGGCATTTATCAAAGACAAGGAATAAAAGCGATCAGCAAGAAAATGCAGGAAGCAAGGCTACAGTGGTACAGCCATGTCATGAGAAGAGAACCAACATCAGTAGCACAAACATCACTGCATTTAGAGATTGCAGAATGACAACCACATGGACATTATCAACAAAAACATGTGTGCTGCCAACCTGAGACCTGAAGATGGCCAAAACAAATCCCCGTGGAAACAAGAATCAAAATGCTAGCCCCTCCATTGGGAAAATAGCTTAGAAAGAAGATTAATAAAATAAAATATTTCTAGGAAATGAAAGCAGGAATATATATTATTATTTTATTAAAATATTATATTATTATTATTATTACTATTAACTTTATTTGTACCCCGCTAACATCTCCCGAAGGACTCGATGCAGCTTACAAAGGCCAAGGCCTCAATAAAACATAGCATAACCAATACACAACTAAAAGCAAATCAAAACAATTAAAGCAATATCAACAACAAACAATAAAAATAATATACCAAAACACAATAAAACTAGGGTTGAGCCAAATGTAAAGGGTACATGTTAAAAGTGCTGATGTGACAGGTGGTATATCTAATTTTAGGGTAAGTGGGGGCAATCTCAACTCTAATAAAGTGCTTCTCGGACATGTTGCTGGAGTTTTCCTATTCTGGAAAGGCACATCGGAACAGCCAGGTCTTCAAGTTCTTCCTAAAGACTGCCAACGTAGGGGCCTGTCTGATATCTTTGGGGAGGGTGTTCCAGAGTCGAGGGCTACCACGGAAAAGGCCCTGTTCCGTGTCCCCACCAGACGCGCCTGCGACGCAGGTGGAATCGTGAGCAGGGCCTCTCCGGATGAACGAAGAGAATGCATGGGTTCATAAACGGAAATACTGTCAAATATATTCTTGTTTTCGTTTTCTAGAAGAGACCCCAAATACTGTTATTTGGATCTAGTCCCTTCTTCAAACGGTGATAGGAAATGTCCATTTTGGCAGCCATTTTGAGAAGGGCTCCCCCTCACCTGGACATTCCCTGCAATCAGATGGTCCAGCCAACTAGTGTCAACCTCGTTGGCCCGGAAGGCCTCCGTCTCCAACAGCTTGACCAGATACTCGACAGTGGTCTGGAAGTCCCCCCGGATGGACAGTTCCTTCAGGGCCACCACCAGGTTCCTGCAACAAATCCAGAATGCTATCATTTGCATTGGACTACTTCACAAAATGGCCACCGAGGGGGGCTGTAATTTCATGAGGAAAAGTGCAAAACACCACCAGACAGGCTCCCGGAGCCCCCAAAACGGCATTGTTTTTTTCTGGGTCCTTCTCAAAATGGCAAAAGGAAGTGCCTCTGCAGTCGTTCTGGTGGCCATTTTGAGAAGGACTTCCACAATGACTTGGAGTGGATTTTTCGAAGAGGGAAGGGGCTACTGACGCAATGGCCTCCTCTCGGTCCTCTCCCCAGGAGAAGCAGTGTCCAAACTGGGAGTCGGCAAATTCGTGGAGCCCCCCGGCAGCCGCCACACTGAAGTATCCCCAAACGTCCCGGCTGCTGCGGAAGTTCAGCTCCTGCACCGTCCCAGAGCTGGGCTTGAAGCCCTGAAACAAAAGGAGAGAGGGAGGCCCCTCAGAATTAGGGAACCGAGAACATAGGCTTAATCAAAGCTGGAGAAGAGAGGAAATAAGTATTTGAGTAGGAGAAGGGAGAAAGTAGGCTTCCTTTTCAGAGCTGGAGAAGGGAGGCAGTAGGCAAACTCAACTAACCTCCTCTGGGTTCTCGCTAGTGATCCGGGCAGCAATCACGTGGCCCCTGGGCACTGGGACAGTGCTGGGATTATCAAAGGATATTGGGGTGTCAGCCCAGGGGGGCTCCCCATAGAGAGTGCGGATGTCCTTGATCCGGTGCAGAGGGACCCCCATTGCAATCTGAGAGGAACAACAACAATAGAATTACAATACTAATTAAAGCCTGGTTTAATCCTATCAGATGATGATGATAACAACAGCAGCAGCAGTGGTTAAGCCATGGTTTAATTGTGACAGATAATAACATTTTTTTTTGTCGTGTCGGGAGCAAGTCGCTTCTGGTGTGAGGGAATTGGCCGTCTGCAAGGACGTTGCCCAGAGGAAACCTGGATGATTTGATGTTTTTATCATCCTTGTGGGAGGCTTCTCTCATGTCCCCGCATGAAGAGCTGATAGAGGGAGCTCATCCGCCTCTCCCCGGATTCGAACCTGCAACCTGTCGGTCTGCAGTCCTGCCGGGACAGGGGTTTAACCCACTGCGCCACCAGGGGCTCCATAATAACAATAATAATAGCAGTTAAAGCCTGGTTTAATCATAGCAGTTATTAACAATAACGATCATGATGATAATTATAACAACAAAACAGCAACAACACCCTGGTTTAATCATAGCTAATAATAATAAGAACAACAACAACAACAACAACAACAATCATGCTGCTGATGGGCACCTGGAGCTGTGCTGCCGGGAGGTTGACGTCGGCCACCATCTCAGTGCAGGGGTGCTCCACCTGGAGGCGGGGGTTCAGCTCCAGGAAGTAAGGAGCCCCTCCTTCTGCGTAGAGGTACTCCACCGTCCCGGCCCCCACAAAGCCCCCACTCTTAGCCAGGCGCACTGCCCACTGCGGAAGAGAGGGGGGAAGAGTTGTGGGTCGCAGCACTACGATGGACAAGGCCAATGCCATCCCAGCCCAAGCCTACTTTCACCATTCAGCAAAATCAGAGTCCCACTCTCTTCTACTTTGGTCATGGCTCCTCTCCTGGAATAACCCTCCTTTTTCATTTTCTTTCTCCCATACCATTCTGGTCCTTCCTTTCTCTTTCTTTCCTTCCTTCCCTACTTTTTCATTCCTCCTGCCCCATTTCCTTATTTTTATTTCTGTTCTTCTTTTCCTTTCTTTCTTTTCTTCCTCTCTTCCTTCTTTTCTTTCTTCCTCCTTTTCCACTCCTTCCCTTCTTTCTTCCTCCCCTTCTCCATTACTTTCTTTCCCTCCTTTTTATCTCTTCCTTTCCTTTCTTCTCTATTTTTCTTCCTACATGCTGTGTGACAAATGTGACTTACCTGGGAAAATTGATATGTGACTAAAGGGTTGTTTCAATGTGCCTTCCCGGAATAATGATCCCTTAGCACTTTGTCCCTCTAAAGCACTTTACATTTTTAGGTCTGCTCGTATGTCTTTCCACAAACGCCACTATCACCTTTTCGTCCATGTTTCAGTACTATTTCCAATTTTAATTTTACATTTGGCCTTCCCACAGTTTTTAATTGTATGTTGTCTTATTGATAATGTTATATGTTTATTGTTTATGTTTTTATTTTAATTGCTTGTATTGTTGTGATTATTGCTTGTATTGTTGTGTTCGGGCTCGGCCTCATGTAAGCCGCACCGAGTCCCTTGGGGAGATGGTAGCGGGGTGTTATTATTATTATTATTATTATTATTAGTGTGTAAGCTGCCATTTTGTAAAACCAGAAAGTTAGGCAGACCTTTTGTGGCTCTCATCGTGCAGCAGAACCAGGGGAGGAGCTATTTGCATAGGAGAGGCTTGATTGGCCAGATGCAAATGAGCAGGTGCTGAGGTACGAGAGATGGGCGGAGTCAAGAATGGCCAACTTAACATTCTTTCTCACTTAGCTGGTGTCGAGGAGCTCGGAGTTAGTCATGGAGAAGTTTTGAAGTGCAGAGTAGTCAGGATTTCAACGTCCAGTTAAGGAGTGTAGGGTTTTTTTTAGAAATCGGTTTTTAGGAGTAATATTATAAAAGCCTTTTGTGAAAGAAAGGCTGAGGAAATATATAAATAAAAGTCACAGAGAAACTATTTTTAAAGTAACATCTTCATAACAGAATAATCAATAACCATCATTGTAACCACCAAGCATCTGTACTGAATATCTATATCTATATAAATAAAAATGTAATGTTCGTTTGTGGGATTAACAGAACTCAAAAACCACTGGACGAATTGACACCAAATTTGGACACAAGACACCTAACAACCCAATGTATGTCCATTCACTCAAAAAAACTGATTTTGTCATTTGGGAGTTGTAGTTACTGGGATTTATAGTTCACCTACAATCAAAGAGCATTCTGAACCCCACCAATGATGGAATTGAACCAAACTTGGATACAGAACTTCCATGACCAACAGAAAATACTGGAAGGGTTTGGTGGGCAGTGTCCTTTAGTTTTGGAGTTGTAGTTCACCTACATCCAGAGATCACTGTGGACTCAAACAATGATGGATCTGGACCAAACTCTACACGAATACTCAATATGCCCAAATGTGAACACTGGTGGAGTTTGGGGAAATAGAATCTTGACATTTGGGAGTTGTAGTTGCTGGGATTTATAGTTCACCTACAATCAAAGAGCATTCTGAACCCCACCAATGATAGAATTAGGCCAAACCACCCTACACAGAACCCCCATGTAAGCCACAGCAATGCGTGGCAGGGGATGGCTAGTCTCAAATAACTGGCCAGAGAGAAGGAAATTCGTTTAATGCTGCTTCTGTTCCTTCCTTCCTTCCCTTCTTTCTTTCTTTTTCTTCCATCTGTTCCTTTCTTTCCTTTCCTCTTCCTTTCTCCCTTCCCTTTTTTCTTCTTTCCTTCTCCATTACCTCCTTTCCATTTTTCTCTTTCCTAACTCTTCCTTTCCTTCTTTCTCTTCCTAACTGCTCCTTCCTTCCCTTCTTATTCTTCCTTTTCCATTACTTCCTTTCCCTTCCTTCTCTACTTTTCTTCCTCCCTGCTCCTTCCTTCCCTCTCCTTCTTTCCTTCTTTCCCTCTGTAGGCTCCGGAAGCAAAGCCGAGAGGGTAAGGCTGTGGCACCGAAGGCCAAGGCGATGGCTCCCTACCTGCTCCATGCAACGGAAGGCGGAGGGTGGGGCCACCGAGGCGGGGGCCTCCTCAATGATCTTCTGGTGCCGCCGTTGGAGGGAGCCGTCTCGGGTGAATAAGGAGAGGGCATTACCGTACTGGTCGGCCAGGACCTGGACCTCCACGTGGCGGGAATGAGGCAGGAAGCACATCACAAACATGGGGGATCCCGGAGCCTCGCTTTGGACCTGTTTGGGGTGGGGGGAGGATTCACACCCAGAACCAGGGAGAAAGGGAACGTGATGTCCAATCAATAGTTACATCAAAAGTGAGAAAGCAGGTCTCCTTCTCAGACCCATAGAAGGGGGAATGCCTTTGGTAATTCCTGTCTTACCTGCCGGAATCGAGCAGGGAAACCTTCAGCCGTTTCTGCCACCCGGATCCCTTTCCCGCCTCCTCCTTCCGAGGCCTTGATCACAACTGGGAAGCCAATCCTCTTGGCAGCCTTGAAAGGGGAAGAAAAATGACATCAGGGACCCTATCTGATCCCTCCTGACAGAGGGACATCCCGAAGGAGGCCCCGCCAGACTCACCTCCAGGCCTTCCTCGACATCCTTCACACAGGCCTTTCTGTATGTGTCTGGTGGGACTAAGAGGGTCTTTGTCGGACCCTCTTCTTCTTCTGAAGGAGTCCATTCAGCCACTAAACCTAAGAAGAGGAAGCACAGGCACCCGATGGCCATCTGTTGGGAGGGATCAGATTGTGCCTTCCTCCATGGCAGAAGTTTCACAGCCCTGTGTATCACAACTCTGTGTATATTTATGAGCTCCTTGCAAATAACTTGCAAATAATCTTTAGTTTCACAACCCTGTGTATCTTTATGAGCTCCCTGCAAATAACAGCTCCTATTTTTATCTCATTTTATCCTGTACATGTGGTCTGCCCACTGTTTACTGCGACTGTGCTTTTGTTTACTGTAATGTTATTTTGTTATTGTATATTTTTTTTTTCCTATGTAATTTTGATGATGTTGCTTGTTGTTTATGTTTTGGTTTTATTTTGATGTAATATGTTGTTCGGGCTTGGCCCCATGTAAGCCGCTCCGAGTCCCCATCGGGGAGATGGTAGCGGGGAATAAATAAAGATTATTATTATTATTATTATTATTATTACTGTCGAAGGCTTTCATGGCCGGAATCAATAGGTTCTTGTGGGTTTTTTCGGGCTATATGGCCATGTTCTAGAGGCATTTTCTCTTGACGTTTCGCCTGCATCTATGGCAAGCATCCTCAGAGGTAGTGAGGTCTGTTGGAAGTAGGAAAATGGGTTTATATATCTGTGGAATGACCAGGGTGGGACAAAGACTCTTCTCTGCTGGAGCTAGGTGTGAATGTTTCAACTGACCACCTTCATTAGCATTTGAAGGCCTGGCTGAGCCTGGGAGAATCTTTTGTTGAGAGGTGTTAAGCTGTGCTTGGTTGTTTCCTCTCTGCTGTTTTGCTGTTGTAATTTTTGAGTTTTTTAATACTGGTAGCCAGATTTTGTTCATTTTCATGGTCTCCTCCTTTCTGTTGAAATTGTCCACATGCTTGTGGATTTCAATGGCTTCTCTGTGTAGTCTGACATGTGTAGTCTCAGACTTCCTAATCTACAGACCCACCAAGAAAATCCAACAAATGCTACGTTCAGCAAAGGACAAGAGGGATCCTCTCACCTCTGCAGGAGTCTACCGTATACCATGCAGCTGTGGACAAGCCTACATAGGGACCACCAAACGCAGCGCCCAGACACGCATCAAGGAACATGAAAGGCACTGCAGACTACTTCAACCAGAGAAGTCAGCCATAGCAGAGCACCTGATGAACCAGCCTGGACACAGCATATTATTTGAGAACACAGAAATGCTGGACCACACCAACAACCACCATGTCAGACTACACAGAGAAGCCATTGAAATCCACAAGCATGTGGACAATTTCAACAGAAAGGAAGAGACCATGAAAATGAACAAAATCTGGCTACCAGTATTAAAAAACCCTAAAATTACAACAGCAAAACAGCAGAGAGGAAACAACCAGGCACATCTTAACACCTCTCAACAAGAGATTTTCCCACTCTAGAACATGGCCCTATAGCCCAAAAAAACCTACAAGAAGCTATTATTATTACTATTATTATTATTAGGAGATCTGACAGAAGGACCCTCTTTGCGGCCTCTTCCAACTCTTAGATTCTAATCTATTGTATTTTTATTATTGTTGTTGTTATTCTTATTAAGCAGGAATTGGATGGCCATCAGTCTGGAGAGCTTTAATTGTATCTTCTTTTATGGCAGAATGGAGTTGGACTGGATGGCCTATCTCTTACAACTCTAGGATTCTACCATTCTAAATCCCAGAGACAAATCCTATCCTTAGTTAGTTATTATATAAGGAGAAAGTTGGGAGAAAAATTAAAGTAAATAATGATGATGATGATAAAGTTAAAGTAGGTAATATTAATAATGATACTGGATAAAAATAACAGCAATAAAGATAATAATAATGGATAAAAATAAAATAAAATAATGATAAGAATGATATTAATACCGGACAGAAATTAAAGGAAACAATAACAATGGAATGATAATAATAGTGATAATAATAATGGACAGAAATTAACATTAATAATAAAAAATAACAATAATAATACCGCTTCCACTCCATGGCAAGGTGGGCACCTTGAGTGTCTGGGCTACGATGGTGGAGGCCACTTTGTCCCCTAAAGACCACATGGCTTCGCTGGACGGACCTGATTGATGGAAAGAGAAGTAGTCAATTAGTCAGGGAGGGCGGGACCCAAAGGCCTCCAATAGGATCCCATCCAAATCTCTCTTGTTTATGGGGTCAATATGAACTTACCTAGAAAGGCAACCCCATGCTTGTGCAACAATTCAGGAAGTTTGGGGTTTTCAGAAGCATGGCCCCATCCGGCCCAAACGGCCTGCAATAAGGATGGAAAACAGTGGGATACAATCATTATTATTGCTATTATTATTATTATTTAAAGATAATAATGATAATAATGGATAAAAATTAAAGTTAATAATAACGTATAATAATAGATTATAAAATAATCACAATACTAATATAAAATAACAACAATATTAATATACAATAATAGTACAATATAGCTACTTCAAGTTGAATTGTCATTGTATATTATCATTGTTATTATATTATTATATATTATAGCACCATTCCTAATGTTTATTGCCTATGTCTCAAAATGTATCCTGTATTGTTTTTAATCACAACTCATCACTTTTTGAGTATTTTTAGAAGAAAAATACACAAAAAATAAAAACAATAATAAAAATGCAAAATAAATATAACAAATAAATATAATAAATTAAACATAAAAAATAATCACAATTCACAATTTTTGAGAAAAGTAGAATATATACAATAAAAACAATCATAATTAAAATGCAATAATGAATAAACATAAACAACAAAATAAATATAATGAAATAAATATAATAAAGATAATACAAGAAAAACAATAACAAATGTAAATATAATAAATATAATACAATAAATATGATGAAATAAATATAGTAACTATAACAATAAACATATGAGACATAAGAGATAAACACAACAATATTAAAAGAATACATATAATAAATATAATGAAGTAAATATAATAAAATAATAATATATATATTGAAATAAATACAATAAATAATAATAATAATAATAATAATAATAATAAATATAACTTTATTTATATACCGCTCTATCTCTCCTAGGGGATTAAGGTGGTTTCCACATAGACAAAATAACACAAAAAAGCATACAGAGTGAAACATAAACATAGGCATAAAATATTGTAATATAATATAAAGGAATAGATATAATAAACACAATGAAATATAATGAAATAAATAAAATAATCTACGCAATACAATGCATATAAATAATAATAAATAAAATAAATAATAATATAATGGCATCCAAAGATGGCCCCTTACCTGGACCGGGATGCGCCTGGCGATGTCCACGATGAGCTCTACATTGGCGTAATTGTTATTGTTACTCCCTCCAGGGACTGGGACGTATTGGTCAGCCATCTTTATGTACTCTGGAAAGTGTGGGAGGTATGGAAATGTATGCAAATACATTTAAATATATGCAAATACATATAAAATGTTTCTATCTCCTCCCACCAACCTGCGTTGGCCTTAAGATCCTCAGGGGTCACCATGACCACAAAGCGGATGGCCCTCTCATTCCGGAACATTTCGTAGGACCAGCGTCGGATGGAGCGCATGCACTTCACGGCCGCAATGCCGTTGTTGGCAATCAGCACCTGCCCAAACAGCTTATTTACATATATTTACATATGTTTGTGTGTGTGTCATCTATCTATCTATTGGTATAGATCAAAGTTTTGACTATCTGTTCTTATCACAAAGGTAGGCGAAGACATATAATATTTATTATATATTTATTATTATTATTATTACACATCTATTGCTAGGCAAAGACATAAATGTAGTATTTTCTCTCTATATTGAATACTAGCTGTCCCCTGCCACGCGTTGCTGTGGCCCAGTCTGTTGATCTAGAAAATAAAGTAATGAGAAAGTGTTGATTTCTAATATATGTAATTTCTTTATGCTTGTGGGTAAACAGTATTTCTTGCTGTTTCTTTGTCATTGTTGATGTGGAGATTGTCTGGTTTGCCTACTCTGGAACATGCAACATATAATTGTCCTTCTTTAGGGGTCCCTTTCAAATCTATGACTATATCTCTCTGTGTGTGAATCATATCTATATCTATGGCTGGATGGCTCTTTGTCAGGAGGGCTTTGATTACGTTTCCTTGCCCTGGTGAAGGGAGTTGGACTGGATGGCCTTGAGTATTTTCTGTTGGTCATGGGGGTTCTGTGTGAGAAAGTTTGCCCTGATTCTGACATTCGTGTGGTTCAGAATGCTCTCTGATTGTAGGTGAACTGTGAATCCCAGTACTACAATTCCCAAATGTTCCCCCAAACTCCACCAGTGTTTATATTTGGGTGTATTGAGTGCTTGTGCCAAGTTTGGTCCAGATCCATCATTGTTTGAGTCCACAGTGCTCTCTGGATGTAGGTGAACTACAACTCCCAAACTCAAGGTCAATGCCCACCAAACCCTTCCAGTATGTTCTGTTGGTCATGGGAGTTCTGTGTGCCAAGTTTGGTTCAATTCCATCGTTGATGGAGTTCAGAATGCTCTTTGATTGTAGGTGAACTATAAATCCCAGCAACTACAACTCCCAAATGACAAAATCATAATTTTTTGAGTGATGGTCACTCCTTGTGTTGTGAGATGTTTTGTTGCCAAATTTGGTGTGATTTCATTCATTGGTTCTTTTGTTTTTAAGGTACTCATTATGCACAGAGCATTTTTATATATATAGATTGTATATACATATAATATTATTATTATTATTATTATTATTATTATTACTCCAGTTTATCTTCCCAAAGGGGACTCAAAGCGACCTGACATAAAAGCATTGGTATCCAATTTAAAATATACAAATATACAAACATTAAAACAGAATTAAACACAAACAGCATTAAAATTTTCAGTTAAAAACCATCAAAACATATTCAATGCTAAAAACTATGGCATCCTGATTAGATCTTAAACACCTTCATCTTTAAAAGCCTGAATGAAAAGCCTGCCACGGGAGGGACATCAAGGAAGGGGCCATTCTGGCTTCCCTAGGAAGAAGGGAATTCCAGAGTGAGGGGCAGCTACTGAGAAGGTGGAGGTGGGATCAAGAGAGGGGCTTCTTCTGAAGATCTCAGTGCCTGAACACCACTCTGGGCACCACAATTCAAGAGAGATATTGACAAGCTGGAATGTGTCCAGAGAAGGGCGACTAAAATGATCAAGGGTCTGGAGAACAAGCCCTATGAGGAGCGGCTTGAAGGAGCTGGGCATGTTTAGCCTGAAGAAGAGAAGGCTGAGAGGAGATATGATAGCCATGTATAAATATGTGAGAGGAAGCCACAGGGAGGAGGGAGCAAGCTTGTTTTCTGCTTCCTGGAGACTAGGACGCGAAACAATGGCTTCAAACTACAAGAAAGGAGATTCCATCTGAATATGAGGAAGAACTTCCTGACTGTGAGAGCCGTTCAGCAGTGGAACTCTCTGCCCGGAGTGTGGTGGAGGCTCCTTCTTTGGAAGCTTTTAAACAGAGGCTGGATGGCCATCTGTCAGGGGTGATTTGAATGCAATATTCCTGCTTCTTGGGATATGGGGTTGGACTGGATGGCCCATGAGGTCTCTTCCAACTCTTTGATTCTATGATTCTATAAACAGGTTTGTACAAGGGGATGCGGTCAGTCAAATAGCCTGGACCTGCATCGTCTTATATCTATATAAATAAAAATGTAACGTTGGCTTGTGGGATTGACATAACTCAAAAACCATTGGATGAATTGACACCAAATATAGACAAAATACACCTCTCAGGCTAACGAGTGACCATCACTCATAAAAACACTGAAAAACACAGCAAAAGAGACTTAAAAAGCAAAAAAAACCCAAAAAACATTACAATGCATGCACAAAACCACAATTATACACACAAAACACATATACACAGACTGGGCCACAGCAACATGTGGCAGGGGATGGCTAGGATCTATATAAATAAAAATATATATCCATCTGTGTGATTAACATAACTCAAAAACCACTGGACGAATTGACACCAAATTTGGACACAATACACCTATCAGGCCAACGAGTGACCATCACTCATAAAAACACTGAAAACACAGTGAAAGAGACTTAAAAAGCCAAAAAAATAAAAAATACATTACAATGCATGGGCAAAACCGCATATATACACATATATATATACACACAAATCGCATATACACAGGCTGGGCCATAGCAACGCGTGGCAGGGATGGCTATTATCTATATAAATAAAAATGTAATGTCCGTTTGTGGGATTGACATAACTCAAAATCCACTGGATGCATTGAAACCAAATTTGGACACAATACACCTATCAGGCCAATGAGCGACCATCACTCATAAAAACACTGAAAAACACAGCAAAAGAGACTTAAAAAGCCAAAAAATAAAAAAATACATTACAACACATGCGCAAAATAGCATATATACACATATATATACACACACAAAACACATATACACAGGCTGGGCCACAGCAACGCGTGGCAGGGGATGGCTAGTATCGATATAAATAAAAATGTAATATATCCATTTGTGTGATTAACATAACTCAAAAACCACTGGATGAATTGACACCAAATTTGGACACAATACACCTATCAGGCCAACAAGTGATCATCCCTCATAAAAACACTGAAAAACACAGCAGAAAAGACTTAAAAAGCCAACAGAAAAAATTACATTACAATGCAGGCGCAAAACCACGTATATATACACACAAAACACATATACACAGACTGGGTCACAGCAATGCATAAAAACCACTGGATGAATTGAAACCAAATTTGGACACAATACACCTCTCAGGCCAACAATTGACCATCACTCATAAAAACACTGAAAAACACAGCAAAAGAGACTTAAAAAGCCAAAGAAATAAAAAAAAATACATTACAACGCATGCGCAAAATCACATATATACACACACAAAACACATATACACAGACTGGGCCACAGCAACGCGTGGCAGGGGATGGCTAGTATATATATATGTATGTGTATACATAATATTACATATCTGTTACTAGGTGAAGAGAGAGATTAATATTTATATATAATATAATATAATGAATATTGCATATACATATATATACAGTAGCCGTCTCCTGCCACACATTGCTGTGGCCCAGTCTGTGTATATGTGTGTATGTGTGCGTATATATTTGTGTTTATGTGTATATATGTAGTTATGCGCATGCATTGTAATGTATTTTTTTATTTTTTGGCTTTTTAAGTCTCTTCTGTGTTTTTCAGTGTTTTTATGAGTGATGGTCACTCATTGGCCTGATAGGTTAATGTGTCCAAATTTGGTGTCAATTTGTCCAGTGGTTTCTGTGTTCTGTTAATCCCACAAACCAACATTACATTATATATATATAGATATAGATAGATATATATTACAAACCTGTATCTAGTGAAGGCATATAATATTATATAATAGACCTACTACTAGATGACGATGTATAATATAGATAGACAGACACATGTGTGTGTGTTGTCTGAAATTAAGCAGCTGTCTAACTGGTCCTGTATGATGTAACTAGGGAAGGACACATATGAGGAAAAAGGAGAATCATAGAATCAAAGAGTTGGAAGAGACCTCATGGGCCATCCAGTCCAACCCCCTGCCAAGAAGCAGGAATATTGCATTCAAATCACCCTTGACATATGGCCATCCAGCCTCTGTTTAAAAGCTTCCAAAGAAGGAGTCTCCACCACACTCCGGGGCAGAGAGTTCCACTGCTGAACGGCTCTCACAGTCAAGAAGTTCAGATGGAATCTCCTTTCTTGTAGAGAAAGGAAAGGCGAAGGGAGGGAGGTTAGAAGGAAAGAAAGAAAGAGGGAAAGTTATGAGGGAAAACGAAGAAAGAGAAAAGAGTCATTCCAAGAGAGGAGGCCTGGCCAAAACTGAAGTGTATGGGACTCCGGGCTTCCTTCGACCTGTACCCTTGGCTCCTCTGGATGGCCTCAACCTGTTCTGCCGCAGCCTCACATTTTGGGATCCAGTACCTTTTGGAGGAGACGCTTCCCCCCGAAGCGGGTGAGGAACTCAGCTGGAGAGGCCACCGCCACCAAGTCCCTGGGAGGAAGGTCCCGGCCTCCCCTTCGCTCCATGCGCCGTCCCAAAGACATGCTGGGCCTGGAAAAGGGGGCAAGGGAAGAACTATTATTATTGATTATCTGCTATGATTAAACCATTATATTTGTTATTCCTATTATTATCGCTTCCGATTATTATTTTGAATCCTACCCAAAACCCTTCCCTCTGAAACCAACCCCCACTTCCAATAACTGACCCTCTTATCAGATGCTGCAACCAGTTCAATCCGGCCCCTTTTTCTTCCAGCAGATGACTTGCAGACTGGTTTGTTTGTGTATTTGTTTACTGATGACTTGCTTGTTTGCTCACTTGTTCTGTGGCTTCCTTGCTTGTTTTGTGGAAGCCTCACTGGTTTGCAGTCTTGCTTACTAGTTTGCTCTCCTACTAGTTTGATTGCTTACTGGTTTCTTCGATTACTGGTTTCCTTTCTTCCTCACTTGCTTGTTTACTGTGTTCGCCAGATTGTTTGCTTTCTGATTTGCTTGCTTACTGGCTTCTTCGTTTACAGGTTTCCTTTCTTCCTCGCGTACTGGTTCCCTGTCTTGCTCGATTACTGGTGTGCTTGCTAGACTGTTTGCTTTCTGGATTGTTTGCTTTCTTTCCTTGATTACGTGGTTCCTTTATAGCTCGCTTGCTGGTTTCTTGGCTTGTTTACTTGCTCATCTCCTTGCTTTCTTACTGACTTTGCTCCTTTCTTGTTTGCATACTGCTTTGGATTGCTTGCTCACTGGTTTCCTTCCTTGCTTGTTTGCTGGCTTGCTTTCTTGCTGGTTTCCCTTCTTGTTTGCTAACCGGTTAGCTTCCTTGCTTTACTACTGGTTTGCTCAGCCTTCTCCTTTCTTCCTCCCTTCCTCCTTTCCTTCCCCTTTTCTTTCTCTTTCCCTTCTGCTGGCCCCTCCTTGGGATCCCACCAGCGACCCCTGGTGGCCACATCTAGATTATTATTCGGTTTGAATGCCTGGAAAGGAGATTCTTTCCAAGGAAGGCCATAATGCAATAGAATTGGAAGGATACTCCAAAGGTCATCTAGACTAACCCCATTCTCCTATAAAGAAATAGAAAATAATGATTTTTTTAATATATATATATATATAACAAACAAACAGATTCAACAAACAGAAAAAACAGAGTTTGCAAGCTTGGTATTGTATTAAATGTCCTTTGACCAGTATCTGGCCACTTGGAGTGCCTCTGGTGTTGCCGCAAGAAGGTCCTCCATTGTGCATGTGGCAGGGCTCAGGTTGCATTGCAGCAGGTGGTCAGTGGTTTGCTCTTCTCCACACTCGCATGTCAAGGATTCCACTTTGTAGCCCCATTTCTTGAGGTTGGCTCTGCATCTCGTGGTGCCAGAGCGCAGTCTGTTCAGCGCCTTCCAAGTCGCCCAGTCCTCTGTGTGCCCAGGGGGGAGTCTCTCATTTGGTATCAGCCATTGATTGAGGTTCTGGGTTTGAGCCTTCCACTTTTGGACTCTCGCTTGCTGAGGTGTTCCAGCAAGTGTCTCTGTAGATCTTAGAAAACTATTTATTGATTTAAGTCGTTGACGTGCTGGCTGATACCCAAACAGGGGATGAGCTGGAGATGTCTCTGCCTTGGTCCTTTCACTATTGGCTGCTACTTCCCGGCGGATGTCAGGTGGTGCAATCCCGGCTAAGCAGTGTAATTTCTCCAGTGGTGTAGGGCGCAGACACCCCGTGATAATGCGGCATGTCTCATTAAGAGCCACATCCACTGTTTTAGTATGGTGAGATGTGTTCCACACTGGGCATGCATACTCAGTAGCAGAGTAGCACAGCGCAAGGGCAGATGTCTTCACTGTATCTGGTTGTGATCCCCAGGTTGTGCCAGTCAGCTTTCGTATGATATTGTTTCTAGCACTCACTTTTTGCTTGATGTTCAGGCAGTGCTTCTTGTAGGTAAGAGCATGGTCCAGAGTGACTCCCAGGTATTTGGGTGTGCTGCAATGCTCCAGTGGGATTCCTTCCCAGGTGATCTTCAGAGCTCGGGATGCTTCTCTGTTCTTGAGATGAAAGGCACATGTCTGTGTTTTAGATGAGTTAGGGATCAGCTGGTTTTCCCTGTAGTAGGCAGTAAGAGCATCTAGAGCTTCGGAGAGCTTCTGTTCTACAGGAAGCCCATAATACAGTGGTTCTCAACCTTCCTAATGCCACGACCCCTTAATACAGTTCCTCATGTTGTGGTGACCCCCAACCATAACCCTAACATTATGAATCGCCATGTAAATAATGATCTGCAGGATGTACTTTCATTCACTGGAGCAAATTTGGCACAAATACCCGGTATGCCCAAATTTGAATACTGGTGGGGTTGGCTGGGGGATTGATTTTGTCATTTGGGAGTTGTAGTTGCTGGGATTTATAGTTAACCTGTAAACAAAGAGCATTCTGAACCCCACCAACAATGGAATTGAACCAAACTTGGCACACAGAACTCCCATGACCAACAGAAAATACTGGAAGGGTTTGGTGGGCACTGACCTTGAGTTTGGGAGATGAAGTTCGCTTACATCCAGAGAGCACTCTAGACTCCAACAATGATGGATCTGGACCAAACTTGGCACGGATACTCCATATGCCCAAATGTGAACACTTGTGGGGTTTTGGGAAAATAGACCTTGAGATTTGGGAGTTGTACTTGCTGGGATTTATAGTTCACCTACAATCAAGGAGCATTCTGAACCCCAACAATGATAGAATTGGGCCAAACTTCCCACAGAGACCCCCATGACCAACAGAAAATACTGTGTTTTCTGATGGTCTTTGGCGACCCCTCTGACACCCCTTCGTGACACCTCCAGGGGTCCCGACCCCCAGGTTGAGAAACACTGCCATAATGCAATAGAATTGGAAGGATACCCCAAAGGTCATCTAGACTAACTCCATTCTCCTATAAAGAAATAAAAAATGATGAACATAGAATCATAGACTCAAAGAGTTGGAAGAGACCTCACGGGCCATCCAGTCCAACCCCCTGCCAAGAAGCAGGAGTATTGCATTCAAATCACCCCTGACAGATGGCCATCCAGCCTCTGTTTCAAAGTTTCCAAAGAAGGAGCCTCCACCACACTCCGGAGCAGAGAGTTCCACTGCTGAACGGCTCTCACAGTCAGGAAGTTCTTCCTCATGTTCAGATGGAATCTCTTTTCTTGTAGTTTGAAGCCATTATTTCGAGTCCTAGTCTCCAAGGGAAGCAGAAAACAAGCTTGCTCCCTCCTCCCTGTGGCTTCCTCTCACATATTTATACATGGCTATCATATCTCCTCTCAGCCTTCTCTTCTTCAGGCTAAACATGCCCAGCGCCTTAAGCCGCTCCTCATAGGGCTTGTTCTCCAGACCCTTGATCATTTTAGTCGCCCTCCTCTGGACACATTCCAGCTTGTCAATATCTCTCTTGAATACTGGATGAAAGGCTAAGAAGTCATAGGCTCCTCTCAGCCTTCTCTTCTTCAGGCTAAACATGCCCAGCTCCCAGTCCAAGGCAAGAGAAAAAAGGTCAATAATATGTAGGAAGTGAGTCAACAACTGAAATACAAGCTGGAAGCTCAGCTAATATTGAAGTTATAGCTCTGGGGTGGAGGAGGAAAACCGGGAACAACCCCTTAGAAGCCCTTATGGCCTGGTGCAGCAAAATACGTCCGGACATCTCAATATCACAGGACAACATTGGGAGAAATGGAAAGGTTGGAAAGCCGTTTACCTCTTCATTTCCCAAGAACTCTGTAAAAGATTGAACTGTAAGATTTGCAAGATTGTCAAAGAAAATGTAATTCTACTCTACTCTGGCTAAAAATCAAAACCTGACTAACAGGGGAAGAAGAAGAGCTTAGGATCTAACAGGATTTGGTGCCTGACCTGCTGAAGAAGCAAATGGAGTGAACGCCAATGACAAGAAAAATGAAAGCACAGAAGGCTGCTGCCGTTCCTGCAAGTTGGAGAAAGAATTGCTAATAGGCAAGGCCGCAGAAAAAAAAGCGAATGTGCAATCTTGAAGAAAAGCATCGCCACTGCTACGTCTAGAAAGCCCTAAACGGTTCTGGCCCAACTTACCTGTCCGAACGCATCTCCCCTTATGAACCATCTAGGATGTTAAGATCGTCTGGGGAGGCCCTGCTCCCATAGAATCAAAGAGTTGGAAGAGACCTCATGGGCCATCCAGTCCAACCCCCTGCCAAGAAGCAGGAATATTGCATTCAAATCACCCCTGACAGATGGCCATCCAGCCTCTGTTTAAAAGCTTCCAAAGAAGGAGCCCCCACCACACTCCAGGGCAGAGAGTTCCACTGCTGAACGGCTCTCACAGTCAGGAAGTTCTTCCTCATGTTCAGATGGAATCTCCTTTCTTGTAGTTTGAAGCCATTGTTCCGTGTCCTAGTCTCCAGGAAAGCAGAAAACAAGCTTGCTCCCTCCTCCCTGTGGCTTCCTCTCACATACTTATACATGGCTATTGGTTCCTAAAGATTATTTAGGCCAACCCCATTCTTACAAGGAAGTCCATAATGCAATAGAAATGGAAGGGCATCTACTCTGAGCCATTCTCCTATAAAGAAATGTAATATAACTAGCTGTGCCCTGCCACGCGTTGCTGTGGCCTATAGTAAAACTTATCAAAGTTGAGGTAGATATCTGGACTATTATGAAAGAGAGGTACCTACCTATTCCTACACCCTTTTCCTCCCCCTTTCTCTCCTTTCTTCCTTCTCTACCTCTTTCTTTCTTTCCTTCTTTCGTTTCATCCTTCTCTATTTCCTTCATTCCCTCCCCCTTTCTTCCTTTGCCTTTCTTCCCTCCCTGTTTGCTTCCTTCTTTCACTTTTTATTTCCTTTTATTTTACCACCATCATAACAATAACAATAATGCAATGCATTGCCTCTGGGACCTGACACCTCTCCCATTCCTCCAGGGTCTCATAGGAACAATAGCATAATAATAATAATAATAATAATAATAATAAGAAATAACAACCTTTACCCGCCACGTGTTGCTGTGGCCAATCTTCCCTCTTTCTCTCCTTCTTTCCCTCCTTCCTTCCTTCCTTCCCTCCCATCTTTCCTTCTCCTCTTCTTTCTCTATCTCTTTCCTTCCTTCCCCCTTTTTCTTTCTTTTCTGCTGTCTCTCTTTCCTTTCCTTCCATCTTTCCTTTTCTTTCCTTTTCTTCTTCCTTCTTTCTCTAACTTTCCTTCCTTCCCCCTTTTTCTTTACCTCCCTTTCTCTTTCTTCCTTCTTTCCTTCCTTCCTGTCTTTCCTAGATTTTGACAGGGCGGGAAGGGGCGGGGTGGGGTTTGGAGGTGGCGTGAAGTAAAAGGAGGTAAGATTGGGGTGGGGGAGTGATGGAGCGTGGGGTTGTGTGTGTGTGTGCAGCGGCGGGGGGAGTGATGGAGCGTGGGGTTGCGTGTGTGTGTGCGGCGGCGGGGGGAGTGATGGAGCGTGGGGTTGTGTGTGTGTGTGCGGCGGCGGGGGGAGTGGGGTTGCGTGTGTGCGTGCGGCGGCGGGGGGAGTGATGGAGCGTGGGGTTGCGTGTGTGTGTGCGGCGGCGGGGGGAGTGGGGTTGCGTGTGTGCGTGCGGCAGCGGGGGAAGTGATGGAGTGTGGGGTTGCGTGTGTGTGTGCGGCGGCGGGGGAGTGGGGTTGCGTGTGTGTGTGCGGCGGCGGGGGGAGTGATGGAGTGTGGGGTTGTGTGTGTATGTGCGGCAGGGGTGTGTGTGTGTGCGGGAAGCGGCGCGGCGGGGCTTGGAGTGGGCATGGTTTCCGCAGAGGGAACGTTGGCCGGAAGGGCATGTGCGCGCGCCAGGGAACTTGCGGCTGGGCGCCAATGCGCATGCTCAGTTGTTTTGCCGTTTTGTGAGTGTGTTGTTGTGTTGTTTTTCATTTAGAGTAGATACGTTTGTACCTTGTGGGTTGTGTTATGGGCATGGGAATTTTGGTTAAGTTTCGTTGGGGTTTTTTTGAGTTTTGTTGTTTTGCCGTTTTGTGAGTGTGTTGTTGTGTTGTTTTTCATTTTGAGTAGATATGTTTGTACCTTGTGGGTTGTGTTATGGGCATGGGAATTTTGGTTAAGTTTCGTTGGTTTTTTTGAGTTTTGTTGTTTTGCCGTTTTGTGAGCTGTGTTGTTGTGTTGTTTTTCATTTTGAGTAGATATGTTTGTACCTTGTGGGTTGTGTTATGGGCATGGGAATTTTGGTTAAGTTTCGTTGGGGGTTTTTGAGTTTTGTTTTTGCCGTTTGTGAGTGTGTTGTTGTGTTGTTTTTCATTTTGAGTAGATATGTTTGTACCTTGTGGGTTGTGTTATGGGCATGGGAATTTTGGTTAAGTTTCGTTGGGGGATTTCTGAGTTTTGTTGTTTTGCCGTTTTGTGAGTGTGTTGTTGTGTTGTTTTTCATTTTGAGTAGATATGTTTGTACCTTGTGGGTTGTGTTATGGGCATGGGAATTTTGGTTAAGTTTCGTTGGGGGGTTTTTGAGTTTTGTTTCCTCGTTGGATGCCCCTAACAAATTTATATATATAGATATAATGACAATAATGTTTGAAGGCTGGCTAAGAAGGAAAGTCTATCACTTTCAATTGAAGTCTATATTTCCATTAGAAATGGAAGGTGACCCTAAAGGTCATCTAGTCTGACCCCATTCTTCTATAAAGAGATAGACACCTAGATATGACTATCCAAACTCTGACTGAAGGCCTCCAAAGAAGGATGAGCCAGCATCTGACAAGCTGGAATGTGTCCAGAGGAGGGCGACTAAAATGATCAAGGGTCTGGAGAACAAGCCCTATGAGGAGCGGCTAAGGAGCTGGGCATGTTTAGCCTGAAGAAGAGAAGGCTGAGAGGAGATATGATAGCCATGTATAAATATGTGAGAGGAAGCCACAGGGAGGGAGGGAGCAAGCTTGTTTTCTGCTTCCTTGGAGACTAGGACGCGAACAATGGCTTCAAACTACAAGAAAGGAGAATTCCATCTGAACATGAGGAAGAACTTCCTGACTGTGAGAGCCGTTCAGCAGTGGAACTCTCTGCCCTGGAGTGTGGTGGAGGCTCCTTCTTTGGAAGCTTTTAAACAGAGGCTGGATGGCCATCTGTCAGGGGTGCTTTGAATGCAATATTCCTGCTTCTTGGCAGGGGGTTGGACTGGATGGCCCAAGAGGTCTCTTCCAACTCTTTGATTCTATGATTCTATGATTCTATGATCTTTCCAAGAAAGTGCATAATGCAATAGAGTTGGAAGGGTACCCCAAAAGGTCACCTGGGCCCCTTCCACACAGCTGAATGAAATCCCAGATTATCTGCTTTGAATTGGTTTATTTGGCTGTGTGGTTTCTGCCTTGATTTTCTGGCTTATATGGCTGTGTGGAAGGGCCCCTAGACTGACTCCCCATTCTCTATAGGAAAAAATAGAGATAGAGATGGACATCTAACTTCTGCTTGGAGGGCCTCCAAAGAAGAAGAGTCTTTTCAAAGAAGTCCATATTGCAATTGATATGGCAGGGACTCCCAAAGGCCATGTAGTCTGACCCCATAGAATCTTAGAATCAAAGAGTTGGAAGAAACTTCATGGGCCATCCAGTCCAACCCCCTGCCAAGAAGCAGGAATATTGCATTCAAATCACCCCTGACAGATGGCCATCCAGCCTCTTAAAAGCTTCCAAAGAAGGAGCCTCCACCACACTCCGGGGCAGAGAGTTCCACTGCTGAACGGCTCTCACAGTCAGGAAGTTCTTCCTCATGTTCAGATGGAATCCCCTCTCTTGTAGTTTGAAGCCATTGTTCCGCGTCCTAGTCTCCAGGGAAGCAGAAAACAAGCTTGCTCCCTCCTCCTGTGGCTTCCTCTCACATATTTATACATGGCTATCATATCTCCTCTCAGCCTTCTCTTCTTCAGGCTAAACATGCCCAGCTCCTTAAGCCGCTCCTCATAGGGCTTGTTATCCAGACCCTTGATCATTTTAGTCGCCCTCCTCTGGACACATTCCAGCTTGTCAATATCTCTCTTGAATTGTGGTGCCCAGAATTGGACACAATATTCCAGGTGTGGTTTAAAGCAGAATAGAGGGGTAGCATTACTTCCCTAGATCTAGACACTATGCTCCTATTGATGCAGGCCAAAATCCCATTGGATTTTTTTGCCGCCACATCACATTGTTGGCTCATGTTTAACTTGTTGTCCATGAGGACGCCAAGATCTTTTTCACATGTACTGTTCTCGAGCGAGGCGTCCCCCATTCTGTATCTTTGCATTTCGTTTTTCCTGCCAAAGTGGAGTATCTTGCATTTGTCACTGTTTAACTTCATTTTGTTAGTTTTGGCCCATCTCTCTAATCTGTCAAGATCGTTTTGAATCCTGCTCCTGTCCTCTGGAGTATTGGCTATCCCTCCCAATTTGGTGTCGTCTGCAAACTTGATGATCCTGCCTTCTAACCCTTCATCTAAGTCATTAATAAAGATGTTGAACAGGACCGGGCCCAGGACGGAACCCTGCGGCACTCCACTTGTCACTTCTTTCCAAGATGAAGAGGAAGCATTAGTGAGCACTCTCTGTGTTCGTCCACTTAACCAATTACAGATCCACCTCACCGTAGTTTTGCCTAGCCCACATTGGACTAGTTTCCTTGCCAGAAGGTCGTGGGTGACCTTGTCGAAGGCCTTACTGAAATCCAGGTACGCTACATCCACGGCATTCCCCACATCTACCCAGCTTGTATTCTGAAATGCAAACTCAAATCCTCTTGTCACTGACCTCATGGGAAGGCCGACCTCCGAAGCCAAATTCACAGAAGAGGAGGAGAAGGTCCGATCGCTGGCCAAGCTGCCTCTCCGCTTTTGGGCTGCCATTTCTTCTTCATCCGAGGAGTTGTCCTCAAAGGAGCCCAGCACGAACTTGGCCAGGGGCCCTTTCCGACCCTGAGGGTCTGCATCGGGATGCAGGGACTTGCCTTGGCAAACAGGGTGCTCCGTAGGCTCAGAGGGGGCTTCCTTGGGGTCGGCCCTGGTCTGTGCCAATGGGGTTTCCGGCAGCGGCGAGGAAGGAGGACTCTCTGCCATCTTGGGCCAAGCCCAGCAAAGCAGGAGGATGGCCAAAGACACTAGGAGAAGCAGCATTCAGGACAGCTGGAAGAGGCCCAAAAGGAGAATGATTATTATTATTATGTGACATTATATTATTGATTTTATTTTGTAGCATTATATTGTTATTAGGATTACCATGTGGCATTGTATTATTGTTTTGTTAAGTACTATTATGTGGCTGTCATTCTCATCAGTATTATATTTGTATTTTTTTATTCTGTGACATATTATTGTTAACATCATCATCATCATTTTGTGGCTGTCATCATATATATATATATATATATAATAGATGT